TTAATTGGCTTTGATTTTTGTTTTTAATTTTTCTACTTACTGAAACTATTTGCTTTTCATTTTCTCTAATTTAACTCAAAAATTTTTGCAAATTATTATGTCAAACAAACATGATTGTTTTGTTCAATAAATTTCAAAACAGTTTTTATTGTATAAATTTAATGGTTTAGAAAAGCAAGTGTAGCATTTAACAGAAAACTATAACGGTTTTTTCCTCGATAAAAAACAAAAGAAAAAACATTAAGGATGCTCTTGAAATTCCTTTCGTCAAGGAAAATAAAACAAAAATGCTGGTTAAGTGCCTTAAACTCGTAGCAAAATTATGATTTTATAATATACATATCGGTTGGGTTACGGAACGAACTAAGTGCTTAACTAGTTACTCAAAAAAAGTGATAAATGCTTTTAAAAATCTTCAATTGGCGAGATTTTTTTATACCTAGATGAAAATTATTAATATCAACTCATAACTCTAAATTTTTGAAAAGTTTTATGAGGCCAGACAATGAGGCAGAGTAATTTTTCAATGAATAAAAAATAGATCACAAATTCTTATCATTTTCAAGAAACCGTGACTTTTCTTTATCTTGCGCCCTTATTACATAATTAGCGTAGAAGGCGTTGGCTAAAGCAAACTACAAAATAGCTGGAGATTAAGAAACAACAACCATCATAATTACTGGATACTTTCTCTAGGCAATAATGTAATAATTTATCGTTTTGAGACCTAAATTTTCAAAATATACAATATCTCGTATTACATTTTTTGTTCTGAATTATCCTTTATTATAATATTTTTATTATTTTACAACATTCTTATTCATTAGATGTTGTAACTCGAACTATTTAATAAAAACCTCAAACAAGCAGTAAATTTAATTATTTAACCCTTTGAAGCAGGTGGGAAACCCGTATTTTGATATTTTTTAATTAAGAAAAACAGTATAATAGTTACTAAAAAAATCTCTTTGATTATTGGAATTATGTATATTAATATGAAATCCAAGAAAATTAAATAATTTTTTTTTCATTCATATTGAAAAAGTTATCAATAAATGATTTTGTAAATAGGGGAGTCAGTAGGGCATATACCAATAATGCTAAAACTAAATAAAAGTACCTTTTCTCTGCATGTAAACAAGATATACAAGATTTTTTTCACAGAATATTTACATATACATATTTACACTTTGATAACTGTCAATACATATCTTTAGCAGAAATTTTTTTAAAAGAAACTATGAAACTTTTAGTTTTTTTAAAATGTTTCATCATTTTTGAGCAAAATTATTCATAACTCAAAAAGTCTTCCTGTTAACACTAAAATATTATCACAACATACAACTGATATAATCTGAAATATCCCCAAAAAGTTTCAAAGCGATATCATAAGTAATTTCTTAGAAAAGGCACGTTGAAAAAAGGTCAGTTTTAGCATTATTGATCTATGAACTACTGACTCCCCTTAAAGAAAATTTAAGGATGAAAAACTGTTACTCTTAGATCTAACTAACTGCGAAAAAGTACAAATTGAAACAATTTTCGTTTGGAAGTGAGCCGTGTTTAGTAGATTTTACCATTAATGCTGGAAAAAAGACACGGGTGTTTTATGCTGTATTTCATAATCATGAATTATTAAAATGCTAAATATAATATTTTTTACTTATTTTGAATTAAACTATTACAAAATAATGAAAAAAGTATAAAAAAAGTAAGCCTAATAAAAATTCTGCTTTAAAGGGTTAAATGCAATGGAAATTTAATAGGAAAAAAAACATGAATTTCAGATAAAAGTAGTTTTTATCCTTAGAAAAAAATTCGAATTTCTAAAGTGAAATTTTTTTTTAAATTCCTTTAAATCAACTAGATTCTTTTTCTTTAAATTAATGATTCAATATTTCACATTTGAATTCTTAACACGGCGCCTTAAGAAACAATACAATTTAATTTTACTTGGCTTTGCATTTGCTTTTAAAATAGTTTGAGATTTTTGAAAAGGTAGTGAAAATCATTTCAATTACCTGAACTTTCCAATACCAAGTCAGTTTTTTTTTTCTTAAAAAAAAGGAAAAGAAAGAAACCGTTAGACTCTTTTTAGTTGCCGAAAATTCTATACAATCCTCTTTCTTATTCTCATTTTAATCCTCTTAAAGCTGCAGCAAAAGTAACTTCTGTAAAGGAATAAATAAGAAGATATTCATATTTTATTTTGTTCCATAAATCTTTCAGTATCGCAGAATGAGAGGCTTTATCTTTTCAACTTTGAACTTTCTTACAAAAACGAGGTGCGTTTTTCACGCCTAAAATTTGCCAAAAAATGATGTTTTGAAGTAATGTTGATAAACTACTATAGGGAGAGAAAAAAATGGGAACACCGATCATCCATCATTTTTATAATCGATTCTTTTGAGACCCGTCAGTATCAATCATCCTAACGGTGTTTAGATTGTCCCCTTGATACAAGAGGTATCAGCACTGATCCACTTAATTTTAAGAGACTTTAAGGTGTTTGCTTTTCCAACATGCTTTTCAGCTTGGGCACTTTAAACATGACTTCAAAGGAAACGAGATCATCATTGGTTTCATGGTGTTGATTACATTGAGGTTATTTTAGACTTATTTACATTTAAAATAAATGACTGATGCAACACTGTTAGATATTTTTCGGAAAAAATGGTTAGATAGCAATTTTTTTAATTGTTATTTGACCATATCCAATCAAAACAGTCAAATAACCGTAAATAAGATGGTATTCAAACTGTGAGAAAAATCGTTTATTAACTGCTTTCACAAAATACGGTTAAACAACCAGAATTTTATCGCTAAAACAAGGTCCAACTAATGAAGACACTAAGTTCTTTGCAGATGGGTACATTTTATGGCCTAATTTGTCAATCTCATGACCGACAGAAAAGAGGTTCGACTCCCAGCGTTGACACCAAGAGGTTTCTTTTATCCCTTTCAACACATGAAAAGTTTCCAGTGCCCTGCATTCCCCAATTTGTGACCCTGGGCTATTAAAATGCGATACTTTCATTCACAAATAGATGGGAGCACCATAAAACTGCTAAACCTTCTCCAATGTCCAGCAAAATTTCTTTTTCACAGTTTTTTAACTGTATTAATTGTAAACGGTTTTTAATCCGTAATTACCGTAAAGAAAATGTTTATTACTGTAAACTTACGGATTTTTTACTGTAAACTTACGGATACTGTAAACTTACGGATAATTGAATGGACATACTGCTGCCGGTTATTTTACCATTATTTAAAAATGAAAATTCTAACAGTGCATATAAATACCAATATTTAGAAATCTACATTATTACAAATTTTGGAACGTATTAATGTACACTTGTAATGAACACATGCAATATACATTTAATGTATATGCAATACACCTGTAATGCAAACATGCATGTATTAATGTACGCATGAAAATTTGCTTCATTTATATATGATACCAAAATAGAGAAAATCTAATAAGCCTTTTAAAAGTTAAAAAAAATGAAATGTTTAAAAAAATACAAAGAATTTCAAAAAACAGTTTTCTCCAGAATAAGGCTAAAAAAACAATCCTGCAATTTTACTTAATACAGTAAATAACTAAAAAATAATTTTGAAAATCAAAATGTTTGCAAAAAAAAAAAAAGAATTTTATAAAAATAAAAATAATTTTTATAGTTGTGTTTTTAATGAGACCTCACCATGGTTTTTACAAAACATTAGAAACCATTTTCTCCACACCAATTTTATCTAAATTTACAATCATATGTAAAGCATTCTTTTTTCTACAAGATTACATACATTCTAATTCTATCTAATTCACTAGCAAATATAATAAACTAGCAAAAATAACTATCCTGTCTCAAACTGATGATTCGCAACAATAATATCACGGATCCCATTTTCTTGGGGTTGCAGCTTTCTAGACTTTTATTTTACACTGGAGACAATATTTTCATTTTCCGTTTTGCACTAGGGTAATAGACCAGTATCAAAAAGAAGAAAAAACTAATCACACACCAAAAAGAAATGGAGATTACGAGTGAAAAAGAAACATTATACATATCTATGATTTATTTTTCTTCACAACTGAAAAAAGTCCTACAGGAAATAATAGCAACAAAATCTCATCTAAAGAGACTTATTTGCCCAACCATAGAAAGCAGCAGTATTTTTTTCTATAATGGTTTTAAATACCATTTGAGTATATATTAATATTCTTTCACAACATATGTGGGGATTTTAAAATAGTAGACTTGTATGAAACTAAAAATAAATATGGACAAAATACAAATACATTGGTACATAAAAAAAGAACATTACAAAGCACGCATATCTTTTAAAAAAAATTAGAAAAAAATAGGAAATAAATTTTAAAAAATATTTCTTAAATGACAAAGTTACGAAAACACCTATCTCTCTCTATGAGTCTCCGCTAATTTGGCAATTTCTTCTAAATCAGTTCATGTGCTTGCATTTTTTGTGAGGCGATATTTTTTAGCCATAACGATTTTAATAGAAACTTTTAACTTCTAATTGATAAGAACCGCAATGAAATGTTCCAGCACCAAATGAAAATTAAACAAAAATTGGTCTATTTAAGAGCCTGGATAAGCATCGATTTTAAGCATCGCAAGCGATTTTTTTTCTCCCTATTAACTAATCATCCACTGGAAGTTTAGCATCAAGAATTTTCAACCGTAACTGATACTTGAGATACATCCGACGATTGAGAAATTCGCAGTATCCAAAGAAATTGGTCTAAAAACTTATTCTGTGAGAAAGAAAGCCTTTTAAGATCTTGGAAGATTTATAAGCGGATATGTTCTAAGCTCACATATAGCGACTGAAATAACCCAGAAAAACAGACGATTATAACTACCAACAAATCTCAAATTTTGCTATACATATGAGAGAAAAGAAACTCAGTTTTTAAAATCAGAAATTTCCAGAATCCATCGCCAAAACAAAACTTCAAAAAAAAAAGAAGCCAATTATATTAAAGTTTCCACCAAATTGGCAATTTCATCTAAAACAGTTCCTCGGTTGGCTCTTATTGTGATACGATATTGTTTCGTGAATTCATTGGACTGTAGACGATATAGAACTCCTATTTGATATGCGCTGCTATGAAATATTGCAGCACCATAAAAATCGTCCAGATTTTGGCTTACATTTGGCAATACAGACATTTTCATCGCTATCAAGTTTTTGACTAACATCTTATTATCCATTGGAAGTTTAGCATTAAAAACTTTCATCAATTCTTGCCCGTTGAGAATTATCCACCGAGTGCGAAACTCGTTTGTGTCCATAGAAATTGGTTCAAAAAATTTACTCATCGTGACGGGGAGCATAAAGGATATTTCGAAGTGCTTGTAGAAGCATTCAAAACCAACCGACAGCGCAGGCTTCTCACTGAATTCTTGCAGACATTCTATTTCGATTTCCTGCTTTATTTCTTCACCAGCGCATAACATCGATGCACATGAGTTCATGTGAAGCTTCAGGTTTGATGTGTTTTGAGTGGCGAAACTAGGCACGAAGTTTCTAAGTTGGTGCAAAGATTTATTTTTATAGGAAAGCAGGAAGCGTCCACTGTTTTTATTGAACTCACTGACAAAAGTAATGCGACAGATGTCATTCTCAAAAACAGTACCACTATTCTGACAGATGAAATGGGACACAGGATCAAAAGACTCAGTATTATGGGCGGAAGGACTTAGCCGTGTCTCTGTGTCGTCAAAAATATTTGCTAAAATGTCGACGTAAGATTTACTTTCTGATGGTTCATGACTTATCTTATCGTAGTTTATGGCATTAGCCTTGGGAACTCTGATTTTACCCATAAGGTTTGATGACGAGGTTTCGATGAACAATGAATTCCAATTAATTTTACGTTCCTCAGATTTATTTTTTGATGATTCATTAGGTACTGCTTTCACTGTAGCATATCGAATTGCTTGATCCTTATGAACACTATCACCTGCCATCAGGTTTAATGATTTCGTTCTGAGCGCTGGCTTCAATTGGATATCAAGTTTCTCGAAAACATGTGTCTCGTAGAAGACAGGTCTAATTTCTTGGAGAGCTTTTAAAACAATTGATTTTGAGTTTTCTTTGAAAGATATCCTTTTTAATATAAACTCTAAATTAGAATATTCACTTAACTTCAAATATTCTATGGCTCTTTGCTGAATCTCCACATCCGACTGTTTGGCATACCCTTTAAATAAGTTTCGAACATCCTCTTTAAGATCAGGAAACATATTTATAAATTTCATGTACGTTGTCAACAAAAACGCTTTTGTTTCAAGAGAAACTGCCCCAAAATGCTTTTGCAAACAAGCAAATTGAGCTTGTGAATCACAACTAGGATCATCAACTATTAAATTTCCGAATTCGCCAAGAATGTATCCAGCGACTTTAACTAAGTTCTCATCACTGCGAGAACAGTTCCTAATAAAAACGAACATTTTTTTACAGGCATAACTATGAACCTCATTCGTTTTTTGAACTATTTCAATAAATCTAAAACATATTTCTTGTCTAATGTATGCACCATAATTTTCTAGAAGCTTCAAAATAGTATCGACATACCATATTGGGTCTTCATAAAACTGTTCTGCTAAATACGCAATCTTCAAAATTACTTCTTCCTTTGTAGATGTAGAACCACACTCTTCAACGTAACATTTCATATTATTTATGATTTCAATGAGATTTTTCTTGTCACAAAGCAGGAATAACAGATCAGAGGCTTTTTGTTTAACTGAGCTGTCTTTTACAGTACTTAAGAAATCCTTTATGAGGTTTAAATTTCGTTGGAAATGCTTTTTAGATACTTCGTGTTCCAAAAGTAAACGCATAATCTCCATTGCTAAATAACGCGAGTTGTTATCTTTAAAAATAAGCTCGGCGTCCAAAATACAACAAGCTCGTATAATCAGGGAATTTTGGGCTTTGATATGATGGATTAGCAGAACTGTTTCGAATATGATAGCTTTTTTTGCATTTTTGTGTTCCAGACTTTTGCATGACGGTGGCTCTTGACATTTATCGAAGATTAATTCTATACAGTCAAGAAGCCTGGATCTTGCCACGGATTCAGAAGGAACAGAAAGTTTTCTAAGTAGTCCAAGGAGTTTAACAACCACCCAAGGTGATTGAACTCCGTAGTATGCATAATCTTGCAAATCATTTGGGCTAGCCCTAAAGAGGCGGTGAAGTCTTGACACAATATTAGCAACACACGGAAAACCATTCAGTTTTCCTTTTCCTGCTAAAAATTCCAGCAAACTAGAAACTGTTGTGACGATACCTAAATTTCGACTAGACAGGAGACATACTATCCGTTGGATGTTATCATTCGCAATAGCTTCAGGATTGATTCGCGTGAGCTGAAGCAAACATAAAATAGCACTTTGCTTAATTCCATCCGGTGTGTCTCTGGCAAACAGTATTTTGAAAACATCTACTGATATATAATTGGCTAGGCTTGCATTTGCATTATTTGCAGAAAACTGAAGAGCCAAGTTTTGATGAACAGGTTTGGGTGAGTTCAAATCACTTTTAACAGCATTATGAACTAACAACATAATGTTTGATCCTTTATTCAGAACTAAAGATAAAAATAAATAACCAATGCGTTTTTCACTGTATTTATCGGAAGCTAGTAAATTGATAGCTTCTACGATACCCAGATTACAGCCGTGTCCCAGCAAGAATATGTAAATCAACTTACACACATACTTCTTTTTCATGTATCCGTTTAATGTTTTGCCGTTTTTAAACTTTGAACGAATATTAGCCAATTCTCTGTTAATTCTTTCGATTTCATCTTCTTGGCATCTACAATTCTTTATATCTGAAATAAAGAAAGAGAGACCGCACATTCCTTTCATAACTGTAAAGTATCAGAAAATAACAACAAAACCAGACAAACAAAACAGATTTTCTTACAAGCTGCAATTTAAAAAATTTCCCTACGAACTGTTCCAAGGCTTTCAAACAAATCTCGATCTGACTTATGCCCACCTTATAATTTTACTTCCGGTTTACATTATAAGACAAGGAAGAAAAGAAACGCCATCTGCTGAAGGATAAAAACACCAAATATAATACTTAATGTCACATAATTAACGTATAAAATTTTTACTAAAAAAGCAACCTTGTATAAACTTAAGGTCATTTTGTGAATACCACGCGCAATGTCAATAAATAAAAAATGCGGTTCTTGGCAACGTACTGCAAATTTATAAATGCAATTTCCTTTTTAATAGTATTCACTATTTATAAATGCAATTTCCTTTTTAATAGTATTCTACTATTACAAGAATTTACTGAATCCTTGTCCCACTTATTCACTCGCTATTACACTTATAGTTGCAAATTGTTTTTGATAGAGTGCGCTCTGCATTTAAAAAAGAAGTATAATTCATATACAGAAATAAATATATTGATTCTTGCTGGTGTCAATTTCTTAATTAACATTTCCTGATGTTGTTTTTCTATCTCAGAAAAAGTCGCCTCGCAATGTGATAATGAGCCAAAAAAGGTTTCTGATGAATTATGAGAGGTTATCTGTATTAAGTGATTTTCAATGCAAACAAAATTTTAATCGAGACTTCACCGGTATAAAGTATTAGTCTGTAGAGTTGACGATCTATATGATATACATATACATGCAAAGATTAAAAATAATCTAAACCCACTTTAGTTGTAAAATGCTGTTATGGAGTCGTACTGTTGTGAAAGGCGTACCATTTCCCTTTTATTCGATAAAGGAAAATGAGTGCGTATTTCAGCCTCATTAGACTGATTAGTCACTGAATACGAAACTGTTCTAATAATTGTCGTCAGAGATGGATTCAAAACGCCTAAGAAAATATATGAAAGATATTAAGCACGAGAACACGGAACATGATATGTGAAATTGAACAATCAATTTTATTTCACCGTGTTAAAAGCAAATAATTAGATATTTTAACTAAGTCAGGATGTTTCTGTTGTGAATATGTAAAAACGATTAAATAAATTTTAAAAAAAAGAATAGAAAAACGACAATAAATAAAAAAGAAAAACAAGGGATCGATAAGGGAACATGATATTTTAAGTTACGAAATCAGACACAAAAACGGATAAACTCCGGATAAACATAATTTTTTTCCCCCCGAGAGGTCCGGATTTCTGCCCCTCAATATATAGCGAGTAACAGCAACCTGGGAAATATGGCCCCAATAATTCAGCTAGGAGAGCGGTCGAAAATTTGGATCCCTTAATGTTAATTTTACTTTTTGCATATTTCGCCATGTCTCGAGAATTTTTTTAACAAATGGAAAAAATTTTGCACACAATTATAAAATTTGTTTAGTCAAAGATAATCCCATGCAAAAAAAAAAAAAACTTTTTAGTAAATGTTTATTATTTTATTTAGAAGGAGACAAAAAAATTGCGAATTTTTAAGGACAAAAAAAAAATTTTGCATCATTTTAAAGAATGTCATTTTACATGGCAAAATACAAAATCTGAGCGAAATCGGTTGAATAGTTCCTGAGAAATAGATTTTTTTAAAAAAAAAAAAAAAAAAAAAACCTTTCTAAGATTCAAAAAAATTTCTCATGAACCATTCGACAGGTTTCGCTTAAATTTTGTATTATCATATTTTATATTCCCACTAATTTTGTATTATTAGTCCCCCCCCCTATATAACATAAAATTATAATGATCTAAAACCGTTGAAGATTTACCATCTTATTGGTCAGTAAATCGCATGGTAAAATTCCTTAATTTAAGAACACACAGATTTTCTAGCTTGTCACCAGCATAAAATTAACAAAGTTTTTACTTACATTGTTTACTAGTTATTCAACAATATTTTCCCATATGTATCATCCTTTTTCAGTATTGCTTTTCGATTTTTTTAAATTAAAGGGTAAATAATTAATGGCGTTCTTTCAGTAATTCCATGATATTACCTTTATGCATCATTTTATGAAAAACAAAGGGTATGCAACCTAACAGTATTTTATTAAACAATATAAGTCATATTTACTTTTATCTTAAGCTTCTTGTAAAACTGTATCCAGTCAAAATATGCGATTAAAACAACCAGATGGAACTGCTTCCTGAACTGAATTGGAAATGGTATCAAAACCAACTTTAGCATGATCTTGTTCCTGAGTTCTGGTAATTGTAATCTGCGAGTGCCGCTCTTTGCGCTTCTGAACTAAACATTACTTGCTATTTTTTACATCAGTTGTGTTTTTGAAATAAGTACAGTATTCCTGAAATATACATAATTTTCTATTTTTTATGTCAGTTGTGTTATAGAAATGAGATTGAGTATGGTATTCCTGAAATAAACATTACTGGCTTTCTTTTTACAACAGTTGATTTCCAGGAGTTGCATTTTACGAAAGCTGTTTTGTTCCCGAAACAAATATTACTCGCTACCTTCTGCATCAGTTGGTCCTTTCTTCTTCAATATGATACATCACATATGAGAAACATAGATTCACTTTAAAATCACAAAAAAATGAATAATAGTATTTTTGTACACAACATTCAAAGTTCTATAAATAAACTTATTTTTCTCATGCTCTCTGGCACATAAGGCTTTCAACATATGTCACCACCCAATCCTGTCCTTAGATTTTTAACATCGTGTATACAAAGTAAGCCTGGGTCTTCTCCCAGCCCATAAGAAATGGGGATCCCTAATTCATAGGGTAGGAGTTCTCAGTCACCCCATAGATATAGGGGTCTTTCACTAGAACTGGCCGAATCAATTCCATCTTCCTTCCGTTTGTTACATTGAATGGCCAGAAATTTTTTTAAATAAATATTCTATAACTATTTATTACTTCAGTTCTTATGGAAGCATAATTTACTTTGCCCTGATTAATTAACACATCGTCTAGTCCTCAAACAATAATGTTATATTTCAAGCCGATGAAATGACAAATTTAGTGGCTTCTTCAAAGTGTTGCCTGCTCCATATTATGTCTGTAAACAAATATCAAAATTATATCTTTTTAAATGTCTTTCCTATTTTTATTTTCTAAGCTCATTGATGAGCTATTTCTGACAGTTGTTAATATATGCAAGAAATTATGAATCTCTTATGTGCAAATGAAACTGACCATCAAATATATAAAAATAAACAAATATTTCAATCAGTTCATTCGATTAAGAGTTTATAACAAAAGAAATGTATTTAATTGGTCACGGTACATCCAATGCAAATGGAGTGTGAAATGCAGACTTTTTTTTTTTAATTTAATTGTTTTCACACTGTCCAAATGAAGTAGAATTTTTAATGCTAATTCAATCCTTTAACCTTTAGTCTTATTCTGAAATTCCAAAACAAGAGTAATTAGTAACAAGAGTAAGGTAACAAGAGTAATTAGGTTGTAAAATTAAAAAAAAAGAATATATNAGTTTTTCAAGGACCTAAGACGTTTTTCAAGCACTTTCAAGGACCTAAATTTAGCAAAAAAAATTCAAGAACTCTCAAGGACCGTGGGAACCCTGTGTCAGTAATCCAATGATATTACCTTTATGCAACATTTTATGAAAAACGCAAGGTATGCAACCTAACAGTATTATTACTATGTAAACAAAGTAGGCGACCCAAGACAATGGAACTAGGAAAAATTGGGCTTGGAGCAAGGTACAAAATGCAACATATGCAGAGGTGCCACATATCTGACAAGCTCAAGCAAGAAGAAGAAGAACAGTATTAATAAACAGCGTAAGTCATGTTTACTTTTATTATATTAAGCTTCTTGTAAAACAGTAGCCAGTCAAAATATGAGATTAAAAGAACGAGATGGAACTGCTTTCTGAACTGGATTGGAAATGGTATCAAAACCAACTCTGGCATGTCCTTGTTCCTGAGCTCCGGTAATTGTAGTCTGCGAGTGTGGCTCTTTGTACTTCTGAAATAAACATTACTTGCTATTTTTTACATCAGTTGTGTTTCTGAAATAAGTACAGTATTCCTGAAATATACATAACTTGTCATTTTTTATGTCAGTTGTGTTTTAGAAGTGAGATTGAGTATGGTATTCCAGAAATAAACATTACTGGCTTTCTTTTTACATCAGTTGATTTCCAGGAGTTGCATTTTACGAAAGCCATTTTGCTCCCGAAACAAATATTACTCGCTACCTTCTGCATATGTTGGTCACATCATATATGAAAAACATAGATTCACTTTAAAATCACACAAAAATGTATAGCAGTGTTTTTTTTACACAACATTCAAAGTTCTATAAATATACTTATCTTTCTCAAGCTCTCTGGCACATAAGGTCTTCAACATATCTCACCACTCAATTCTGTTCTTAGATTTTTAACATCATGTATATGAAGTAAACCTGGATCTTCTCCCCGTCCAGTAAGAAATGGGGACTCCTAATCCATGGGGTAGGAGTCCTCATTCCCTCCATAGATATAGGGGTCTTTCACTGGAACTGGACAAATTAATTCCATCTTCCTGTAAAAATTTCCTCTTCTATTGCCATTACTTCGGCTTTAATTAAAAGATTTTCATTTGTTATCTTGTATGGCCAGAAAATTTTTAAAATAAATATTCTATAACAATGAATTGCTTTAGTTCTTATGGAAGCATAATTTACTTTGCCCTGATAAATTAAAATCAGCTAGTCGTCAATCAATGTTGTATTTCAAGCCGATGAAATGACAAATTGAGTGGCTTCTTCAATGTGTTGTCTGCTTCATATTATGTTTGTAAACAAATATCAAAAGGATATCTTTTTAAATGCCTTTCCTTTTTTTCATATTTTCAAAGCTTAAATAATTGAATTTGGAAATAAGTTATTAAAGAACTATGCTAACAGTTGCTGGTATATGCCAGAAGTTCTGAATCTCTTATGTGCAAATGAAGCTGACCGTCAAATATATCAAAATAAACAAATATTTCAATCAGTTCATTCGATTAAGAGTTCTCAACAGAAGAAATGTATTTAACTGGTCACTATGCATTCAATGCAAATGAAGTGGGAAATGTAGAATTTTTGTTTAAAAATTTATTTGCTTCAACACTGTCCCAACAAAGTAGAATTTTTAATGCTGATTCAATCCTTTAACCTTCAGTCTTATTCTGAAATTCCAAAACAATAACATCATTAAAGGTAACAAGGGTAATTAGGTTGTAAAATATAAAATTAATATCTAATTCTTTTTTTTTTTTNATAAAAAATTATCGGTTATCATTTTTTTTTTTTTTTTTTTTACAATTTTTGTATTATAATGAATAAATAATCTGTATGCAAGAATGAGAAGTAAAGTTATTATTTCATAAACAAGATATGTTTCATGAAAATAGAGAATTTTTTTTAATAAATGAAACAAAAAATTTTTTAGTTTTATATTTATTTCTATCCGCTTAAATAACTTTAAATTAAGTAAATATTTAAGAAGAATTTGAATTCATTTAATCAAAATAGACAGAGAGCATACATAAGAACTATACGACAATCATTTAGCTAAAATAAGAAAAAAAGACAAAGAATGTTTCAAAAACTTTAATAAATTATAAGTATATACACTTAAATACAAAATATATATATTTTTTTAATTTTAAGATTTATAAANATCTGCTGAAATAACTTTAAATTAGGTAAATATTTAAAAAGAATTTGAATTCATTTAATCAAAATAGTCAGAGACCATACATAAAAACTATACGGCAATCATCTAGCCAAAATAAGAAAAAAGCAAAGAACGTTTCAAAAACTTTAATAAATTATAAGTATATACACTTAAATACAAAATATATATATTTTTTTAATTTTAAGATTTATAAAAATACTTTAAAATGCTGACATAAAAAGATATATTTAAAAAATACTTTATAGTTTTTGGAAAGCAATTGAGTGCATTAAAAACAAAGTAAAACAATGCTTTGCAATTCTTACTTTGCATCTTCACAAGCATTTACTCAACTAAAACAAATTATAAATCATAAATATTTACAAAGATTAGGAATAACCTGAAAGATTAATTAAAACACACACAAAATAAAATAAGTGCTTAAAAGTAATATTAGTCTATGCATATATACGTATAATGATTATTTGAAGAACTCAAGTGTAAAAATTGAATACAAAATAGTTACAAATATATTCCAGAAAAATAATATTTAGTAATAAGATGTTTATATAAATGAATTGAGCACACATTTTTTGGAATGTTTAAATAATGTATAAGCCAAAATTGCTGAAAATAATATTTTGGCTGAAGTTCTTAACATACATGTTTCTATGAGCATAACTAACACTTCAATGCTTATTAATAACAACTTTTTCAGCGGGGGCTTTTTTCTATCTTTTTATTATTATTAGGCTTTTCTCTTTGATGCATTATTTTACACAACTCATTAACACTATTACTTTACAATAATCATGTATAACTGAAATTTTTAATGCAATAAATGTTTTTCAAGTATTTTTTGTTTCAATTTCAATAAAGAAGCATATTTTTTAATTAGGTAAAAGAATTTAAACTAATAGCTTTAGAATGAAGAATTTTACTTTACTATTAGATTGGCTAAGTAAAATTTTTAAGCTTTTTTAAGCATTTTATTTATTTTACTTTATATGATTTTCTCAGAGATTTGATATTCTTAGAGCACCATATGCTTCTGCAAAGTAATATTTACATTTGACACATATTTTTAATTTAAAATAAGAGAATTTACACTAAATGACCTCGAATTATAGATTTTACAATAAATAATAATTTGCTTTGGAAACTTATTTTACTTCATTCACATTTCTTACACAGGACATTTTCTCAGCAGCTGAAATTTTTAAAACACCAGATGTCTTTTCAAAGTAATGTTGCAAATGAAAATTAAAAATATTTTTCATTTAAGTTAAAAGAATTTAAACTAAAACCTTTAAATAAAGATTTTACTTTGAGTTTGCTATTGAAACAATTAATGAAAAAAAATTAGCTTTGATGAAATTTTACTTGAATTTATCTTTGGTAAATTGTTATTTCTGATAATATTTAGGTTCAATTATTATTGACTTTCTCTCTAAGATTTTTAAATTTTGTTGGTTTGTAATGGTGTGTAGGTTGGAGGTAACACAAATCCATCTTTTACTATCTCTATTTTCCAAAGGAGAAACCTACAGAGCTGCTTTTTCTTTTCTTTCCAACTACAGGAGAAGGATTAAGGGAGGATGGGGCAAGCTCCTGAAATGTATATACACAAAATTAAGATAATACAGCAACATTTGAAATGCATATTTGAAAAACAAAACTATATAATGATTAATTGGATTTAAGACACTATATTTAAATATAACCAATGTCCTGTATAAGCTAGATTAGTGATATAAACAGTTGGTCCTTGATTATTCAAAGTAATTAGGACTAGACCTACTTTGGATAACCAGAATATTCAGAATTGAGAGATAGCATTGTTTTTGCTTCTTTAATATTACTGCTGAAGTAGTAATAAATTTTATACAAAGTTTAAATTTAGTGTAACAATTTGATAAATATCTTTTGATCAAAAAGATATTTTGTTTCAAAATACATTTACATTGCCGGCGTAACTTGGCTGGTAAGGATGTGAATCCAGCATCCTGCCGGTCAAAGACTCCCTGTGCAGTAAATAGTGACTGGTGCACATTTAATCTGTAGGGTCACAAAGTCCTCCGTGTTCCCATAACAAATTAAACCTCTTGGGATACTGAATTGGAGATAGATCGTTCTCTGATTCAGGTCAAAATTATGATTTGTGGAAGAATAAATGGACAATTGAATGGGTTCGTCCTATAAACGGGTGTGACAGAAGTCGAATTCTTGGCCATAGATGATGCCACTGGAGCACAAGAACAATCGGAATTGCTGCTTTAATGGCCTACCACAACAAAAAAAAATACATTTGCATGATTGTTCCAAATAGCAGAACTCCTTAGCTCCCATAATAAACCATTTTTACTATAGCAATATTTAATTCTAAATCATTAGCTGTTTTAATTCTTTTTTCTTCTTTTTCTTTCAAAATTGGCTTTAATACCTTAGCAAGTTCTATAAAACTTTTTACATTATATTCTGATATTTATCTTACACATAAAAAACTTATCTTTTAGTAGAAGTAAAGTCGATAATAGTCAAACTAAACTACACTAGACTAGTAACAATGCAAAGAATAGATTAAACAAAAATTATAATTTTCCTTTCCTCCGCAAATTGGAAGGAGCTAACAGCACCATTAACGAAATATTTGTCTGTTTCTTATATAAAATTAACAATTCTATTAGGTCATTTAGTACAAAGAGAATTTTTTATTTTGAAAGCTTAAGGTATAGCATATAAAAGTATATATTTGAAATCGAGAAATTAAAAAAAAACTATGTGTTAAATTAAGAAACAAAGCTAAAACACTAGAATTGACTTTGATTTAGAGAGATATTCAAATGAAAGAGGTACACACTAATCAAAGTTTTACTGTATTTTAAAAAAAAAGAGAGAGATACAACATAAGTTAGTTAAAGTTGTTCATAACATTTTTTTAAAGATATTGTTACTTTAAATATATAAAATAGTTACTTTATTTTATTAAGCGTGTTATCAACTAAATTTTGCATTTGTCACATTTAATACAAAAAATCTTTTGATCAATATTATTTAATTATTAACATATTCTAATCAGTAAAAATGGCAGAAGAATTTACAAAAGCCCATTAATTTCGAAGCAATATTTGAATTGCATAAACAAAATAATAACAAAATTTATAAAATAAACAAGCAATGCGTGGGAGGAACAGTACACAGGATGAAGGGAGGGAAGCCAGAAATCAACCACCAAGCAACACCAACACAACTAACCTTCTTTTTTATTATTTTCATCAGAGTTCTTCAGTAATTCATTATGAATGGGAAGTAATACTTCAGAAAGTATGTAAGGAAATCGCTAGAAGAAATATTTAAAAACTAAGCACTTTGTTTAGTTAATTTTACTTTTTAAGTCAGCTGCTCTGGGATGGTCGATGCATAAAATTAATATTTATTTGCATGGAATTCAATATTTTTTTGTTTATTAAAGATTTAAATAATAAACTAAATTGTGCTCATTAAGAATGTACTAAAATAAGATTAAGTGATAATACCAATTATCTACAAATTGGCTAAAATGATTTAAATGAAGGATATTTCAGTTCTTTCAATAGAAAAATGAATAAATTAACTGTCCAATACACCAAAATACCTAAAACTTGATTATTCTTTAAAAAATCAAGTCTTGTAACTTATTGGAATAACTTTTTCGGTTGTAAGTTTTTTTATGTATGTTTGTATATACAATTTTTTTTTCCTTTTTTTAAAAAAAAAAAGAAACTAATAACAATTAACGCATTTTAAATTCATGTTTTAATCTAGTTGCATAGTATTGTTGTTTTGTTCGAGTTGCATTGCTTATATACATGGTATTATATATTCAAAAATTATTTCTGGATATTAATATATCATAATTTTTCAAAGTAATTCTGTCAAAAATTATTATCCTGAATATAATTTTTTAATTAAAAAGTATCTTTTCATATTCCTAACATTTAGAAGAAGTTTCATTAAATTTTTACCACTTTGAGTTTAACGAAGAACTAATTATAGCATATTATATGATTAGGACGCAAATACATCCTCTTAACTCATAAAGTTTCAGGTACAATAATTTTAGTTCTTATTATTTCATACTGAAACTGAGCCATTATCAAAGTACAGAAGGCTTTTAACGAAATTATAAATTATCTTGCACTAAAACTATTGAAAATTTTAAAAAAAAGTATGATAAACAAAAAGATTTAATAGTTTAAAAGAAACAGGAATGTAGTTTTTACAACCCTTATTAAGCAGCTTTAAGGGAAACATTTCAGTTTAAATTACTTTTTTTTAACACATTAATTAAGAAATGCTGATATGTATTTAATACATTAAATTGAACCGAAGTAGCAAAGAGGTTAAGGCATTGGACCTTAAATGAGTATAACTTAAATTCAACAAGAAGGAAAATACCCGAAAGATAGGTACCAGTTTGGATATGAAGTGAAAGCCACTAATGTACAATGCTGACTACATTGCCACTGTCTTGAAAATGTGGACAGTCGTAAAAATGTATAGCCTTAACTTTAATGCCCCCTTCCCAATAACTGGCTGTTGCAGGAACACTTTATTTTCTATACAGGGAAAGCTCAATTTTCTAGAATGAGCAGGAATCAACCAATTCTGGAAATGCAAAAATTCTTGATAATTGAGCACCAAAAATCTTAACTTCTAATACCATTTCTGGGGAGATGCTCTGTCTTATTATAAACAAACAAACAAAAAAACTATCGCAGTTGACGCATTAAAAAAATTATGATAAAGGAGAAAAAACTAGAATAATTGTCCATAAAAATTCTTCAAAATTAATATTAAAAAAAATTAAAAGGTGTAAAAGGTAATAAAAATTAAAACACTTTCTGAATTAAATGCTAGTCTATAACTGAATCCAATCAAAGAAAGAGTGGGCATCTATCAAGAATTGATTAGTCTTTTACAGTGTAGTTTCAAACTTATTCATAATATGCATTCGTATTCATAATGTCATGTTCAGTGTATTACAAACCATAAATTTCCAAAAATTTTGATAACTTGAGCTTTTTGGTGAGTCAAATTTCTGATAGTAGGGCTTTTACTGTATTAGTAAAGAGGGTAATAACAGAGGTGGGGAGATTTATGATATTCATAATGGAAAATAACTTACAGTGAGGTTTGTAACAGAAGACAACCTCCATGTACCCATTGCATTAGAAGGTGTTCCGAAATTCCTCAAAGGGCTTATGATTGTGGAGACAGCTCTATTCAAACCTCGTTTGGTGGGAGTTTTCTTCATAGACAAAGCCCTACCAAGCTTGCTTCTTGTTTTGCTACACAAAACAATAAACAATTAATGAAGCAGATAAGTTTACAACTTTAAAAAATGCCTTTAATCAATAATATGGTACAAAAATATACAATATAAAAAAATGCCTTTGATGTTTAATGAGACAGACAACACAAACATTTTTTTCGAGATTCTTTTTAAAGTTGAAAAATTTACAACTTTAATTATTGATCAACTGCAAATAAATAATAGATATGTTTATTATAATACCAGGCACATAGATAATTTTAATCTCAAATAGAAAATAAATTTTCAGATAAAAGTGCAGTTTGTAAATGGTATTTGAAAGATACTGTTGTGACTTAGGAGTTTCTTGGAAGATAACAATATTTATGATTTTTTTTTAACCGACAACATTTCATCAATACTAAAAGAAAACACAAATATTTTTAATTCTAAATAGATAAAACTTCTTTGGAAAAAAACGCGTGCTGAAAAGCAGCAGAAATTTCAGAAAAAAGTAGCAATAAAGGAAACGAAGGAAATAAAAATATGACCACCGAAGCCGACGTCTTCAGGGGGTAACGGCCTCGGTAGCCATAAAAACAAAACCATTTCTAATTGAGGGAGAACATTCATCATTTATTCTAATACATTATATTAAAATTAATTTAAACACAACCTGTTTTCAAAATATGCTTCATCACTAGACAAAATATGGCATTTAAATATATATATACTATATATATGTATATACAATATATATATATTTTTAATACATATATATTAAAAATATACATGGTGTACAAGTACAAATCAACTTTTCAAATTCTCAAGAATTAAGGTTTCAAATTATATACCCTAATAAAGGCAGACAATCGTTGATCGTAAAATATCGATAAATTGTAAACAATGAGATAGGTCTGAATAACTTCATATAAATGTACCTCTTTAAAAAACTATTTTTAATATCTTATATATAATTAATTTTGCAATTTTTCTCATCATATTTTTTACATGATGAGGTTTATTTAGAAACAAGCTTTTAAATTGGGCTCAGAAAAAAAATTTATATAATTGCATTTGACATAGATGATGTTTTGGAACCTTCAAATTTGTAGCTTTATGACTTTCATTGTGTTATATTTTCTGAAATACTCTCTTATGTTTTCTTATTCTTAGTTTTTTTTTCTTGATCATAATTTCTGTTATATGTAAAGAAAATATAGTAAGGGTAATAAATTTCACAAAACATATTATAAATAGTTTTTGAAATAGGTAAATTGATACATAGTAATTCATATCTATGTCATTATTTATAAATACATCAATATTTCTCGAACAACAAATGTCAGACTATACTACGGGTGTGTAAGTCAACTCCGATTTTCCTAAAATTATAGGTGTTTGAAAAGTTGAGTACACCGTATACTGGGATGATACACCGTTTTTGATTACAAACTATATAGGGATTTTAAAATATTGCATAAAATGAAAATTAACATACATTTTTAACAACATAAATGTTTTTGTACATAATTTTTGTCTTCCTTATGTAAGCAAATTTCCCTAAATGCATGTTAATTTATACCTAATTTTTAATATAATAATCTTTAACACTGCTATTGTTGAAAACAGATATGAATTATTGAAGACTCTACTACATATTGATTCTGTAAATTCTGCTATCAGATTCCGTGCAATAGATTTTTAACACTAAGTTACCAGCTTACCAGTTATAATTCTCATAACAAAAATAAACATGACATTAAATATTGGATTATCTACTTAAAAAACACTTTATAGTTAAATATAGCTATAAAAAAATTTTTAAAAGCAAATAACAAGATTAAAAAAAAAATTTATCTATAAAATAACATTCTGAATTTATCAAAAATAATGCATTTAGCAGAAAATAAAACTTTAAAAATTTTAATGAGAACTTACCTCAATGCTTTTGTTAAAACATTCCCACTTTGAATCTCATATTCATGTAAATCTAACTGTTCAGGTTCTAAGGTAGTTAATAATATATCCTGTGAATAAAAATTTTAATTTAAAATTTAACTTTAAAAAAAATAAAAGATGTTCATACATGATTTTTTTAAAATCTTAATTATGCTTTATGGTATATATTAATGTGTATGTATTATGTATGTATATGAATAATTCATATAGGGATTTATTATGTGTATACAATATCAGTAGATCTATATATGGAACAGTATAAACTTGATTCACCTACTTTTAAGGAAGGTAAACATTAAATAAAAATATAAAAAACATAATTTGCTCTATTTGAGCGAAAATTTTATTGCAAGAGGATAATAATTTATATTGTTTTTAATTTCAAAATTACTTTTTCTTGGGGATAAATTTTTTTGACCTATTGTTATATCAGTATAACTTATATAAGGCAATCACAAATCAATAAAATAATTTTAAAGTTGGGTATCAATAATTATCACAGTAAACATGTTGCTTAGCATATTCATACAAAAGTAATTTAATGGGTGATCTCTCAATTCGAAATTAAAAAGTTCAATAGTTGTTTGTTGTTTTCAATGAGTTATTTTTAAAATCAGGAAAAAAAAGGGCAGCCAATAATAGCAAGACTTGTAGGGAACTAAAGAAAAATCAGGACATTTTTTTTAAAAAGGGCAAACAACGCGCTTAAAAAAAAAGTATAATTTTTTCTACTAAAATATAATAAAGGCAAATTTTATCGCAAAAGAATAAGAACATATACTATTTATAATTTCAGAATTTGAATAGAGCAGAAAGTTATAAAAGTTTCCAGAATAATATGAATGGAGCATTGAATAAATTGAGATCAATATACTGTTGCATTAAAAAGATAACATGAAGCGATACAGAAAAGCGATATGAAGCGATAACAGAAAAGATAGCATAAAAGATAAAAGATCATCAATTAGTTCATACCCTTCATATGAATATTTAGTTAACATTTGTAATAGAGTTCAAGATTTCCTTAATGAGAGAGTTACAATAATCTTAAAACAAGAACACAGTAAATATTCTGCTCACAAAAGTAATTTTGCAAGTGATTCCTGGATTCACCTTTCAAAAATACAATGACATGATAACTGTACTGCTGATAGAAATAAATTACATTTAAAATCGAAGGAAAAATACAAATCAGTAACTATGAAACTACACGTCTCCACCCAAAAAGACGTGTAAAAATAATAAATAAGTGTATTCATCATTATAAACATTTGATAATGTAAATATGTTAAGTGAGTTCCTTTTTTACAAAAGTATCAACAAATCAAAAAGTGTTTTATAAAAAAAATTATGTAAGATCACATTTACTAAAAAATAGATAATACATTAATACATTAATAAATTATTAAAAAATTCTAATCACAAACAAGATAAAAAAAATAATCATACTGCATCAGCCTTGCAAACAGTGTTAGCCACTTGACGACTCAAAGTACGTAAGAATACATTTTTATCTGTTTCGTCTAGTAAAACAAAGGCATATAGAAGCTCTTTCATTTGTTTGTTGCACCACGCAACAATAGCAAATACATTCTTACAATCTGAAAAAGAAAATAAATAAGAATGATAAAAGAAAAACGTAACAACTTAAATTTAAATGTGTTCATGATTTTTAAATCTATATACATTATTTACATCTATATACATTATTTATATCTATATACAGAGAGAGAATAAAAAGAATTGTGGCATAACTGCCATGCAAAATAATGAGCAAACTTTATTAAAAGACTGATTTATCTTTCTTCATTTATATTAATGGTTTCAACTAGTCAATACATTAAAAAAAAAATACAGCCTTTCTATTTTGCATAATATGAAATTCAAAAAATAGGAGAGGTGAGAAATACAATGAATTTCTTCATATTAGAATGGAATTTATCAACATGTCTTTGAATAGTTGTGGAGTTTTCACCACACTTTTATATGTTTGCAATATTCTTTTATGTTTTGGTAAAAAATACTTATAAATATTTAAAAAAAATTATTTAAACTATCCTCATTACGGAACATGCCGAACATTTGAAAAATAAAAAGGGAGTATTACACATAACTTTCATTACCTGTAAAAACTATAAATTCAACTTATTACTACTAAACTCAATGGCGCCACAGCCCATAGAGGGCCAGGGCCTACTGTGCCCAACTCAGTTTTCTTGACCTTGGGCTCTGGGGTGCAGGAGCAGATGTTCCGGTCAGGTGGTCAGCCGAACACGGAACCCCCAGTGTTCAGTTCCCAACCACGCTTGGTACTCATTTATCGACCCACTGAAGGGATGAAAGGATGAGTCAACCTTGCCCGAGGATCGAACCCAGGACCTGTGGTATGGGAGCGCAAAGCGCTAACGCTCAGACACCGGGCGTCAAATTCAACTTATTAGTAGATATTAAATTAATTAATGTTATATTTAAACAAATATTTAAATGCAACCTTTATAGAATGATTGTTTATCTTCAACCTCTACAACATTCACAACTATCATGATAGAACTAAATTTATATTAAAGTTAATTAATATTTATAAAAGCGTTATTTACTTTCAGTCACTACTACAATCACAATTCTTTACATATGTGATAGAGAAACTAGTTTCAGGAATTTTTAGTATAAATTTAGATAATTCAATTTAAGTTTTAATATAATACAGTGGAACTCTTGTTATACGCTGTCAGTTTCATGTTATCCCACTTCCACATTAATTTTCTCCAGGACTGTAAAAATTGTCTCTAACGACAATGTTAAATTACCCTGGATTTAATATTTATAAAACAGATATTTACCTTTAACCACAACTCTTTAAATATGTGATAGAGGAACTAATTTTACAAAGGTTTTTAGAATTAATTTAGATATTTAAACTCAAGTTTAATATTTATAAAAGGATTATTTACCTTCGGTCTCTACTACATTCACAACTCTCTTAATATGTGATAGGGGAATTAAGTCCAAGTGTTTATAAGACTTTGGATGAGCTTTGGTAGTACTGGATGGCAATGTTGCAGTACTCGGACTTTTCACAAGATTTGCAGATGATTTTATTCTCTTTTTACTAACCTACATGTAAAAAAAAAAAAATGAAAATAATATTTTAATTATCCATTTATTCATGTATCTTTCAACAATTGAAAAAAAATATTATTTATATGAAAAAGACAAATGTCAAATGAAATAACTATGCATTCTCTAAATAATTATAAATAATAATTAAATATAACTATAACATTATTTTAAATTCTATGAATATTTTCTTGAATAACTCTAATGAACAATTACTAATCAATTTTGTAAGCTATAATACATTTAAAACAAAATACAACTAAAAAACATCAATCGAAATTAGAAATTTGTGCATAAAAAAGTTACATGAAAAGTATTTATTTAAAAATAAATATGCAATTCGGAAAAAGACCACAGCTTAAATTAATGTTAAAAGTAAAGAGATAACATACCTCCAAAACGTCTGTAAAAAGGAACATCGTTAATGTACTTTTCTTATTTAGCAAATCAGTGACTTCTTGTGAATCTACTTTGCAGATAAGACTTCGATGCGATGATAATAGATTTGGCTGAAACAAAAGTTACTTTTATGAGAGAACACATAGATGAAATATAAAAATAAAGGACCCTAAATATTAACAATAATACAATTCACCAGTCAATAAATCTGATTGGTATGATAACAGGGAAATCTTATCACGCAATCAACAAAACTAATTTTAAATACAAATGTTTATACATGTTTATGTACAAAAATACCTTGACATTAAGTCTAACTTCTCTAAGGATAAACAGTATTTTTAATTAAAACTTATTTATCTGTATTTTAATTAAAACTTATGTATTTGTTTAATTAAAACTTATGTATTTGCTTAATTAAAACTTTTTTGAATTTATTTATCTGTAGCTTGCAATAATATTAATATATCATTACTAAACATATTATTTCCTTTTAAGCATTCATAGTCACAATTTGACAATTCCAGAAACCATAATTTTTTTCAATACAGAAAGTTCCTTATCCCTTAAATGAGTAAAGTAAATATCTACAACTGAAAAAAATAGCAGGTTGTGAAAAGCGAAATATAAATGCAAAATCACATATGCATTGCATATTATATGTAAATAGGATAAATACATATATAATATATGCAAATGTGCAGTACACAATGAATCCAATAACTGCTTACCGGACAATTTTCAATGTCATTAACAATGTCAAACATTTCTACTTGGCCTTCTGTTTTCCGCTTGTCTTCATTTATGTGTCTAAAAGAGAAATCACAAAATAAAACTAAACTTCCTCAAACTAAAACATCTTATAAAAAAAAAAAAAATAGTAGGACATTTCCAGAAATTTAACAATTCTCCTATAGTTTTTGACATTTTGATTTTGAACAGCTGCATGATAAAGAGTAAATTAAGAATGTTATTCATCAATCAGATATTTTTATACAAAAATATGGGATGACTCTTCAGTGCTCAGAATTAAAATTATAAAGGTTTCTAAAAAATTTTAATACAATCACCAAATGAGATCATGACAATTTCAACTCATAACTTACAAGAGAACATCTTTCAAGGCTTGAATTGCTTTTTCTAACGCTTGGTGATCAGGACTACTTTTTGGAGTGTGTTTCAAAATATCTACAAAAATTCATTTAAAAAAAAATTTTAATTGAAATATTAACAAATCACTATTTCATACATAAAAGTACATAAATAAAAAAATTCATACAAAATAAAACAATTAATACAAATTGCTTGTGTTAAGAACAGTTCCTTAAAAAATAAAAACAAATTGAAGATACCGATTGTTTTTAATAGGACATGACAAGTTTCAAACCTGTTAACAATAATTAGAACAATGAATAATATTAAAACTTTTTCTTAACTTTCTTATAGATTTAGTCTTAGGTCATACTCTGCCGTAAAGAAATAAAACACATCAAATGAAATAACAGAGACTAAAGAGCAGAATTAGAAAATTTTGTTACCAGTCAAAGATCAGCTATAGAATTTTAATAATGGCCCTTTTTGAAAACGTGAGATTACTTTCTCAAAAATTATAAAATTTTAAATTATTTAAAAAAAAAACAGCTGATATTATTAACATAAATAATGTTACCATATCTTTTTTTTGACGCATTTCACAAAACATGGTAAACTTTACAAGATTCATTTCCAACATGAAGAAAGATTTTTCTGACCTCTTCAAGTAGGCTTACGTAAAATTCAAGAATTGTATATAAAATTTTTAATTAAACCTAGGTCTTGACTCTTTGAACCAATAATGCAATGTAAAGTCTATGTTTATTAACAAAAATAAAATGTATTAGTCACAAAATAAATCTGAAGTAATTGTATATTAAAAACGAAATTTGATTACTGTTAGATATTATCGACCATGAATATAAAAAAAAGTAATATAAAATTACCTTTAACTCAAAGGAAACTTTTGGTCAACAAACTCAGCTCCTATGAAATTCATAATCAGAGTAAAATAACCTGAACGTTCCAGGAATGATATTAAAGTTTTCCTGAGTAATAAATAATATAGTTTGAAATCATGTGTTTTGCAGATGAAGTACATTTTCATCAGCAAAAAAAGTGGGGATAGATAAGTCAGCAAATTTTTAATCATTCATCATAATTTCATCATTTTAATCATTCATCATAATTTTTCGTATTTAGCCCTCTTGTAGTCAGTAGCAATCGTTAATTTTTTGCCTATAAGATTTACTATTCATATTTTGGTCGCTAACCAAAATAATTACAATGCATAGAAAAGTACAAATATAAATTTAAGCAACAAAAAAAACATACCATTTAATAACAAAATTACACTAGGTAGACGTTGAACTGGCCTAATTAACAACTCTTGAAGAGTTTGTCGTCCGCATTCAGGCTTGCTTTGACAGCGCTAGAAAAAATAATTAGAAAAAAACTATACAATTAAGTTTAAAAATTTTTAAAAAAATTTATTAAAGTTATCGAAAAAAGCTTTCCCATATCACCAAAGTTTTCATTAAATTGTTTTGCCTCTTTTTTATTAACTGTTTATGCTCGAAGCAGTAAGAATTTTTATTACGCTTTTCCATTTTATTACAATTTTTAAGCATATTTAAGATATTCAGTTACAAAAAAATGTTGGTTAATAAGAATTTTTATGATATCAACATGTGAACAGACATTTTTCAAAATAAATCGGATTTTCGCTTTAATCTGTCATAAATCTGTCAATATTTCATTTTAATCCAGAAGGAATTCAGTACACATTAGAAATAATAGAAAATGTCACAATTTTCTCTACATCTGACTTTGAATTAATCACAAATTTTAACCAAGAGGAAAACTTTAACATTGTGATCAATTTGAAAACTAAGAATTAACAATGTTAGTCAAAATTACTTTATGTTCCAAATTACCAATAATCAAAAAAAAAGGAGACCATAGTATTTAGTATCTAGTAAAACTATAATTTTAAGAGACCTATTAATACAACAACATCAATTGTTGGAGGCATATAAATTATGAAGGAGTTAACATAATAAATATTTTTAAGTAACTATTATCCTAATGTAATGAAAAAACTACTTTTGAAAATTAAATATACATACCTTTAAAAATGCATGGAATCTTGGTTTTGTAGCATCACATGATACCAAGAGGCTTTTAGTTTTTTCAAAGAAATTTATGAAAGGAGGGTAAGATTTCATAAGTTCATGAGCCTGTAAGTAAAATTCACATTGTTAAAAAATAAGGAGAGAAAAGATTATTTATAGATAATTCAAGAGTAAGTAGCCTTTTTCATCAATTATAACATTTACAAATAATTCATGAGTAACTTACATTTTTAAAAAAACATATAATTTATAGACAATTCATAAGTAACTAACATGGTTCAAAATCAAATTTCCAATACTATGGTCTTCACTCCAACTATAAATTATCTCTGATAATTCATTTCTAATTTTTTGATGTATTTCATAGATAGGAGGTAAGTTTCCAAAGATTATTTTTATTTCTGCAGGAGCTAAGAGAACTCCTCCTACTTGCTCAGGATTCTCTAAAGGCTCTTTGAAAACCTAAAAAATAATAAATGAATTTTTAAAATTCCCACCAAAAACAAATAGCTAATACATTCCAAAATTTAAATATTCCAAAAATCAAATGAAGCAATTTAATATAGGTCAATAATTTAGTTCTTTCTAATTTAGTACTTTGAATTCTGCACATTATTATGGAAGTAAAATTATGCTTCTTGTTTATAAAAAATATTAGTGTTTTCTTCTGAAAAAATTAATTTAGCTATAATTATTTTTCTCTCATTTTTGAATAAAGCTTATTACTACAAAGAAAGTCAAATATTTGTGATCTTTTAAATTGTCAGACATAAATTTTGAAAAAATGTGAAAAGACAAATTTTTTTTGTGCTAAAAATAACACATTTTAGTTCAAAGCAACTGGAAATATTGTTTTTTTTTAACTTAAAAATTATCTAAGAAAACAATATTTACATAGAAATCATGACAGCTATTTCAAAATATTTACGCATTTGTATATGTAAAACTATCTAAAAACATTTAATTTGAGCAATTTTCAATTTTAAAAATTAACAATTGGCACAACCAATGTTCCTTTCTTTAAAAAATCCAGCACTGGATGGACATTATAATTTCCATTCTATTTTTTTCACTTCAAGTATCTTTTATGTATATGTGTAGGGCATTAGTTAGTGTAAGGCATTAGTTTATATGCATAAAGCATGTCATACTTAAAGTTAAACTCATTAAATTTCGCTTTATTGAAAAAAGTGCATAATTAAACATTACAACTTTTGACAGAAATTATCAAACTAAAACAAGCTAAAAAATTAGAAATCAAATATTGTAAACCTATATCAGGGTGCGTAGCCAAATCTTTGAATCAAAAATAAGCACTTTTTAAAAACTTTTCAAGCACTATTATCACTAAGTTACAAAAGTTAAATTAAAAATAATGTAACTCTAGTGAAAAATATCAGAAAGTCTTTTTTTGAAATGATAATAATATTTGTTTTCTTGGAAAGGTGTGTCGTTTATGAAAGAGCAAAATCATTGATCTGTCTGGGTTTTTTTAAGAGGTACCTATCTTGTGAAAATTTAGACATAATTAGTGCAAATAAAAAATTATATTTAAAAAATCAACACAAAAATATGGTAAAGGAAGAAAATATTTTCAAAAATTGTCACTACAAATAAATATCATTTATGACTTATTTCTATATATTTTTCCCTATATACTCAAAAATAATTTTGGTATTGTAAAANATTATGTAGCAAACTCCCCATTTTTTGTGAAATGCATGGGATCCACCAGATATCACCGAAGGGTGAAAAAAATTTATTCGGAAAAAAAAAGCACTTTTTAAAAACGCCAGTTGAAAAATGCACCTTTAAAAGCTTTTAAAAACGAAATCCCCAAAAAAGCACCTTTAAGTACTTTTTACAAACGCTACGCACCCTGTATATATAAAATTTGTAAATCAATAATTTAATCACAAACCGTAATTATTGTATGCAATATTCCAACATAGTTGCTTTCAGTTTGGTATAATTCATAACAGACTTGTTGCCTGGGAGTTAAACAATGTACTTCAACTGCTGGACTTTTCAATGTACTGTCTAAGTCTTTATGACCAGAAGAAATATCTGTAAATTAAATAACAAAATATAAGACTAATATATAAATTAAACATAATAATTAAATAAGAATATTTTTCTAAATTAATAAAAATCAAACTGCAAAAAAAAAAATTTATGCTTTATAAGCTAATTTTTAATGGCAACATTGAGATTTTTATTTAAAAATTGTATTTTTAACTATTTGAAAACACTAGTTATTAGATTTTCCATCATATAATTTAAAATATTAAAAGGAACTTTCATAATTTAAATTAACTGAGTGCATTAAATATATGTTAGCAGCAAAATTATAAAATAGATTTTGAATTTGCTTCTTCAATTTTTTATTATGAAAGATTTATCAGGCTATGGAGAACCAGACTATGAATAATTATAACAAATAAGAGGAATAATTTTGACTCAATTATTCAGTAAGTAAATTACATTTCAAGAGTACCCTTTTAATTATAATCTCAGAGCTCATTTATAGCTAATTTTTTCAGATGCATGGAGTTTCATTACAAAAATTTTATCAAATAAAAACATGCTGACATTTTAATATAATAAAATATTAATAATAATGTAATAAAATATTTTATTTTGGCTCTATCTTGTAATTATCCAATACAAAATATTTTATTAATTATTCAGTTTTGATTGAACAAACTATTTATCCTTAATGAATAACTCAAGTTCATATTTTGTTGAAATATATTAATCTGGATTATGTGTACTTTCTGTTTTGACTTAAAAACAATTGTTTTGATGATATTTTATTCATACATAGAAAAGTCCTGAAATTATTTAATGTGACTTTCTCTATCCAAACAGGTATCCCAAAAAAGTCTGAATTGCGGAAAAAATTTTAAAAAAATCTATCTAAAGGAGATAGAAATGTATAGTTTGTTGCATTCTGCTTAAAAACCTATGACTCTATTCCTGGCAAGTTTCAAAATGGTTACAAAATTTTGTCAACAGATGGCGATGCTCCCTGAGAAAAAATATAAAACTATGTCATAAAAATAAACAACATTTGCAGTAACAACGAGCACAGTTACGAAAGAAATTAATAGGGACTGTGCAAATATTAAAATAATCATGCAGAATTATAGCAAGCAGCATTAAAAAAATACTACTTAATAGCTTTGCGTTGCAACAGAAACTATGTTTAATAGTTTTTAAGTCAACAGCAACACCTGTTGATCAGCTTTGTGACTACTTATAAACAGGGTTCGTTGATTTAAATCAGCTTGATTTAAATCACGATTTAAATCATGATTATTATTGACATTATTGTTTTTATCAGATTTTTTAGGGAAAGTGGATAAGTTGAACTTATGGTTACAAAGTCCTGCCATAGCGTTCAGCTCGGTCTCATCACAAGTGAGCAAACTTGTTGATGAAGTACTCGATTTCTCTAAAAACATTGAAAAAGCAAACCATTTCAAAAAAAGCAGGGAACTACTTTCATTTGCTTTAGACTGCACTGCTCTAAGTAGAAGTTCACGAAGCAGTTCAAAGTCATATGATTCTATTGAACTTATTAAAATCTATAAAGAGACTTTTGTTAAACCTTTTATTAAAGATTTTGAAAATGAAATGGAAAATGCCTTTATTATTCCTGCCCCATTAAATGGATTTGATTTGTTTTCCGACAAAAATATTTCTGGAGATAATGATGCATCCTGGCAAACTCTGCTTTCCTTTTATGGGAAAGAAAAGTGTCATGAATTTAGAGGTTCAAAAAATATTTCAGCTCCTATTATAGATGAAACAGTAGCTCAGATAGAAATATCAGGATTTGAAAAAGAAATGTCATCAGCAAAACTGACGTATGAAATGGAAAAAATGAAAGAAGCACAAGTGTTTATTCGCCAGGGCAAGCAGGAGTTGGCAAAAAAGAAGATGTCGGAAGTAATTGAATCGAAAGATTTATTAAGAATATTAGAAGGTTCTGGACTGTGCACATTTTATCCTAATTGTATGAAGTTACTCTCTTTTAGCTCCATTATTCCTTCCTCAACTGCCAGTGTTGAGAGACTGTTTTCGCAAATGAATTTAATTTGCACTGATTTGCGCTCACGAATGACGCAGCAATCTTTAGACATGCATTTGAGAATAATTCTCAATGAACTTGACACTCTTTCTGAAATAGAATGCTTAGAAATTGTATCCAAATTTAAAAATGCTGGTGATCGCCGATTATGCCTGTAAGGGTTGTAACAATTTCTGCTTGTTTAATACATATTGTACGATTTAAAACACCAAACTATTTAAACACAGTTTTTTTTTTTTTCAAATTTTATTCTGAATTTATTCTATTTAACTTTTATTTTTTTATGAATAAAAAGAATTGGTTTATTGAGTACGAAATTTATCTTAGAAAAAAAAATAAACAAAACTGAAACGCATTGAAATTAGAAAAACAGAACAAAATTTAAAAANCATCTAGTCTTTAAATTTTAATCATGCATTTGTTTCAAAATGGTTGCTATGCATTCAAAGCCATGTATTATAATGAAAAATTATTTTAGTTAGAGCTTCTAAAATATTGTTACAATATAGTTTTAATATTAAGTTAATTTGATTAAACATTTATAATTTTATTTAATCATAAATTAAAGTTCATACAGTGTATTTGAATAAAAATCAAAAAAATCTGATTCTTTTGATTTTTTTAAAAAAAATCAAAAAAATCACGAACCCTGCTTATAAACTTAGTGAAAATAAAAACCTAGCTTCCTCAGCAGAACGAAAAACCACACACTTCCATGTCAATTTCTTTAATTGACTTTTTAAATCCGCAGCCAGTTTTGGGAACATTTTTGTTTAGTAAAAAACTAACCTAATGGTCGATCAGGTGACATAGTAGCATCTAAAAAGGATCCACTTATAGAAAGCTTAGCAACTTCAGATTTTCTTCTCAGATCAGGACAAAATATTTCATTCTCTTGCAGACTTTCTCTCGCTAACTGACGTGCAACACTCTCCAGTCTCTTGCGCTTATTACCTCTAATGGGCATAATATTGGACGATGTTGTTAAAGTTGCATTTGGCTAATAGGATTAAAAATAAATTATAAATTTGCAACCCAAAAAAATACATGCTAAAAAATAAATAAGGAAAATAGTTACTTCAAAAGAAAATCAAAGTGAAGAAATAACAAAAGAAGAAATCTGAATATTTAAAAATTTGTGATAGTTAAAAAGATATTAACAAATTTTGTAAACAATATTTTTTGATTCAGACACATTTAAATGAATGCAAATAAATAATTTTTCATGCAATTACAGGGTACTGATTTAACTAGGTAAATTAAATCAGAAGCTCCGAAATTGTGTTCCACTAGGGTTCCGAGAGTTAGGACTTTTTTTATCAGTTACGATTTTTGAAACATGTCATTAAATTTGTAATTAATTAATCATTTATTTATTTACTTCACTTTTCCATTATCTCTATGAAATTATTTTATTAAATTGCTTGTAAAGAAAAAAACAACTAAAATTAAGAAATTTAATTTTTTTTAACATATAGAAAAGGAATAAGGAATAGGATATGTATTTATAAAAAAATGTAAAAGTATTTTGCATCAAATAAAAATGACAATGAAAAATATGTTCCTCTGATAATATTTCTTGACATTTTTTGTTTTTATTTCACAGGAAACCATACTTCAGCTCATTCATTTTGTTCATAAGCACACTAAATTTGAATTATGAATTAGACTAGATGCTGCTCCGGACCTATAAATTCAACTTACTGACATAAAACTCAATTTTGAGACTAGTATTGATAAAACAATATGACAAAATATTTTGTATTTGATACATTGATTCAAAATAATTCATTGTTCTTCTTTAATTAATATATTCACAATTGCTAATGAAATTTATTCATTACGCCTTGGGGTTCCATCAAAATAAGATCGATTATTTAAGGTTCCATAGCCGAAAGACTTTTGTGAATCGCTGTATTAAACGTATTTTTCATATATGAGTTACTTTTTAACAAACAAGCTTGTCTTTCTTACCGTACAATTAGCAAGCATATGTATTATACCTTTTAAAAAAATCAAAATTTCCTTAGCAAAACGTTCTTCCCAATGTTTAAGATTTGCTCCAATATAAGAAGGCAGTTTTAAGGGTACAGAAAATAACTTGATACATTTGAAATTTTCTATAACAATATTGAGAAGAAATTTTTTTTATTATTATTATTTATTTATTCATTTTTCAAAAGCTAGAAATAAGTATAATTAAAATATTTATATTCTCCTAAGTTAAACTGTTTATGAAAGAAACGATAAAATAAAAATTTAAAATAAAACTAGTAAAAAATTGAAAGTGCTAACAAATTCTTATAACATTGAAGAAGCAATAGTCAAGACTAATGATAGCAACTTTAACAATAACAATATAATTATTTTTAAATTTAATTATGCACACAAAAAATAAAACTTTAAGCACATTTTTCAAATAATTTTTAGATACTTCTCTTATTAAAGTGGTACACTTTTTTTACGTTATATAAATAAATAAAAAGAAATAAGTCTAAAGAACAGTCAAACTATAAATTATTTAAATATAAGCACTTGTTCACTTAAATCAAATTCTCAAGATAACAATGATGTCAAAATTAATAATTGGCATACAATTAAAAGGTTTTTGAAGTGATAGACATAAAATTAGTCACCTTGGAAAAAAGGAATTATAAATATTCAATATTAATATTATTAATTAAAATGTTTTTTAGCAGGTGGATATTTAGTCATTTGCAAAACTAATAAAAATTCATATTCAAAATATCAACTTACATTTTCATAAATATACAATGATTCTTCTGCTTTTGCTTCCATTTGTATGCAAGCCCAGAACCACTATAATTACATTATAAGGCGTAAGGACAAATGTTTGATATTTAGTATATAATTTGTATGCATTTAAAAATAAGAACTGTGATTTACTTCTTTTTTTACAACAAACAAATCTCGGTCATACACTGAAGTGCTTATAAGATATCCATCTTCAACAATTATATGAGTACATGAAGGATCTTCAGATTTTACAATTTCACCACCTATTTATAAACATATAGTAATTTTATTAGTATTTGGGTACTTAAAAGGTATTAAGTATGAGTTAGACAAGAATACCGTAGGCATTAATTAAAAATACATTAAGGGGATACATAAGTTAATTAGGGATACATTAATATTTAAGTATCTATATATTAATAATTATGTATATGATAGACAATCTCAAATAAGTATTACATGTTAAAAAAATTAGTGCATGACATTTATTATTTTTTCTAAAATAAATAAATAATTTCTTTTCCAAAAGCAGGCAAATTTTTAAATCAGTTACCTGCACTGAATAATCATTGAAAATGGCAGTATTATGAAATATTATGAAGTTTAACTTATCATGGAAAAATATAAACATTTTACGTACAGTAACAAATTTGTTATGCTTAGCACAAATGTAATATATAATGATATAGATATTATTTTTATATTCGATATTCACCCTTACACTTTAGATGCCTATTAAGGTTAATTTCACTGAATATAAATGGTATAATAATGGTAATATATATATATATATATATATACAGTGGTGGCCAAAAGTGTGGACACTTTTTGAAAGTTTCATGTTTTTCAACTTTGTGTGCTTGTAGAATATATTAATTTTCACTTAAATACAAACGTTTATATATCAAATTGAAGGTAATTTAATGTAGAATTTAATAATAAATACAGTATTACAATATCTGTATTACAAAAAAAGTTATGCAACTAATAGTAAGATCTATCTTAGATTTGCATTTTTTTAAAGTGATACTTACACAATCAATACTTAGTAGGATAACCCTTATTTTTTAAGACAGCTTCACAGCGTCTTTTCATCGAGTGAACGAGTGTTTGGAGTTCATCTTTCGTAATCACATGGTGCCAAGAATCAATTATAGCTTCACTTAGTTGTCTTTTATTGGATGGACGTTTTTTTCGTACAAGAATTTTCAAACGTCGCCACAAATTTTCAATTGGATTGAGATCAGGGCTGTTTCCTGGCCATGGTAATATATCTATGCCTTTATTTTGAAAGCATGCTTTGCATACTTTTGCTGTGTGGCATGGAGCTGAATCCTGCTGAAAAATAAATGGTGCGTTGTTGGAGAAGAGATCCCTGATGGAAGGTATCAATTTTGGTTTCAGGGCAGTTTCGATGTATTTTTTGGCATTCAGGATGCCATCAATCACTTGAATTCGGCCCACACCATCTGCAGATATACATGCCCAAATCATGACATTTGTTGGATTTTTAGTAGTTGCTTCAATGCAATCAGGATGAAGCGCTTCACCTACTCTACGTCTCACGTATTTTCTACCATCACTTCCAAAGAGCGATATTTTACTCTCATCACTCCAGATTACTTGCTTCCATTGATTTTCTGACCATTTAATGTGTTCTTTTGCCGACTTAACTCGTTTTTCGCGTTGCTTTTGATTTAAATATGGTTTTTTCCTTGGAATTCTAGCTTGTAGTCCAAATCCTGATAACCTTCTTCTTATTGTTCTTGAACTTACTGCAATACCAGCTGCATTCATTTCACATCTAATGGCATCTGATGACATTTTTCTATCTTGAAGGCATAGCCATTTAATTTTTCTATCGGTAGTAGCACTTGTGCATTTTTTTCGGCCTGATTTGGCATCCTGAATGCCAAAAAATACATCGAAACTGTCCTGAAACCAAAATTGATACCTTCCATCAGGGATCTCTTCCCCAACAACCCACCATTTATTTTTCAGCAGGATTCAGCTCCATGCCATACAGAGAAAGTATGCAAAGCATGCTTTCCAAATAAAGGCATAGATATATTACCATGGCCAGGAAACAGCCCTGATCTCAATCCAATTGAAAATTTGTGGCGATGTTTGAAAATTCTTGTACGAAAGAAATGTCCATCCAATAAAAGACAACTAAGTGAAGCTATAATTGATTCTTGGCACCATGTGATTACGAAAGATGAACTCCAAACACTTGTTCACTTGATGATGAGACGCTGGGAAGCTGTCTTAAAAAATAAGGGTTATCCTACTAAGTATTGATTGTGTAAGTATCATTTTAAAAAAATGCAAATCTACAATAGATCTTACTATTAGTTGCATAACTTTTTTTGTAATACAGATATTGTAATACTGTATTTATTATTAAATTCTACATTAAATTACCTTCAATTTGATATATAAACGTTTATATTTAAGTGAAAATTAATATATTTTACAAGCACACAAAGTTGAAAAACATGAAACTTTCAAAAAGTGTCCACACTTTTGGCCACCACTGTATATATATATATTAAAAATATAGTGGAAATAATATAATAAAGATTTATAAAAAGAGAAGAAAAATAATAAAAATTAAATATTTTGAAAAATATTAATTATTTAAAAAAAATCGGAAAACAAAATAATTAAGAAATAGAATTTTGTCATCAGCTTACATGATTGTATCCACAAAAAAGAGTGCTTTGCAATATAGCATTAATATAGCCAAAGCAAAATTTATCAATACAATACTGTGAGGAGCACCCAAAAAATATTAAAACGAAAATCGAACATATTAAGAAAAATATACAAAATAAAACATATCAAGTGAAAAATAGAAAATAAAAAGCAAAAATAAAATATTATATATGCAGGATGCATAGCCAAATCTTTCAATAAAAAATAAGCACCTTTTAAGTACTTTTTAAGCACTCAAAAAATATTTTTAAGCACATTGACAAAGTGCAAAATAATTTTCAAAGACTTTACATGATCATGATAAAATAACCAGTTTCTGACAAAGAACTCTTTTCTTGATTATATTAGCCACCATAAAAAAATCGAAAGATTTTTCGGTTCGATAACAAAGGGTGGAAAATAATGTCTGAAATTGAGAATATCATGCAAAATGTAGCAGAGTTGCACACGAGAGTGCAAGAATCTCTCCGAACCTAGCTCAGGAGACACACATGCGAACCCCGAGTATTTCATCATCAAACATGTAAAATGATTGAAGCTTTCATACGCTATGGACCGACGGTACACTAAAAAAGATTGTGCTTAAATGAATTGTGAAAAGATTTAATAGAACAATGTGAAAAGCACGCTTTTGCACAATACGTGGCGAAAATTGACATGGTAAAGAAAAAAATCTCATTTTCGAAAAGGGAAAATTAAGCACTTTTTAAAAACTACCCATGAAAAAAGCACCTTTAAGGGATTTTAAAAGACGAAAATCGAAAAGAAAAAAAAAAACACCTTAAAGCACTTTTTAGAAATGCTATGCACCATGATATATATACATTTAAAAGAATCAAACAACTAATTTTAAATCATTAAAATAAATAAAAATGAAGTATTTAAAAAGATTTTACCATTTTTTAATGAAATTTCTATCATGTGTTCTTCCTCTTCCTTCTGATAACCTAAGAAGGCCAATTTAGAACCCACAAAAGGTAACAGCTTATATTGCATCTGTAAAACAATAAAATTAGTTCATTGGTAAAATTTTCAGTCATATTTAAGTTTATTTTTTTATACATTCAGTTTACATTTATAACAATCCTTAAAAATTTGTAGTTCTTTAAAATTATTTGATATTATTTATATTTAATATCAACTCATAGTCATAGATTAAATGCATAGATAAAAATCAATAATTAAACTCTTTTGTTAGCTATTTTCTATTAATTTAAATTTCATTACCTAATGTACAATATACTAATTGGGTACTTTTATTTTTTTTAATAGTTGCTTTCTTTTATTACCTTATGTATAGTTCACTAATTTATGATATCAGCAGTGGCTAAAAATCTAACCTTTTAAACGTGGATTTGGTTGCCTTCCTACTTCGAACACCTGTTTTTCCTAGGTTATTTTATAGTTGTTCAAACAGTATGTCAGTTAAAAGAGTTAATTAAGTTAATTTCATTTTTAATTAATTAGATACATTTTAATTTAAAATGTTTAATTGCGTTCTTTGAGTCTTATTATACTAAAGTCGCTAAATATCTAGAGCAAATAGGGCCTAAATTGGATAATTTTTTCTTAACAAAACAAAATAAAGAATAGACTTACAAGGAAATCCAAGCAATATATAAATAATTAAGTTTGTAATAGTATAATAAAGATTTAGTGTTTGCTTTTAATCACAGTGTCGCCTTTATATCAAAAGTTAGTTGTTTAAATTTTAAGTAATAACGTGAAAATTAATTACATTAAGTTCTATAAAATAAAAATATTGGAAAGAAAAAAACTTTTTTTTTTGACAAACAAATCCAAAGGTTTATTTTTTATATCAACAAATGAGAAAGAGTTAAGAACAAAACAAATGCATACTTTCAGATTATTTTTTTGGAGGAAAAAAAATAACAAATACACTACTTCTCACTTTAGAATTAAATATTTATTATGCTAGAACAGTTATAAATTTTACAAAATGCAATAACTAACTTTTAATATCATTAACGTATTTCGTCAGGTGAATAAACTTCCCTAAACTCTTGAAAAGAGATAGTGCTATTAGAAAATATAGTACAGACTCCTTCATAAATAAGCTTCACCGTACATTCAAGTGATAGATAAAATAGAAGTAAAAAGATAAAATTAAAGTAAATATAGCTAAATAATAAAGAATAAAACTAAAAATCATTTTCGCTACAGCCTGTCAAAAGCCTTTGTTCTTTGAGGTTAAGGTTCCACAATTGTGTGACCAATGGCATGCCAGTGACAAAGTGGTTAGCATTATGCGAACAATCAATCTGAAGCTGAATGGATTTCAAGCCACTGCAGGGGATCGAACCTTAGAGCTTCACAATGACAGGTCAGGTCTGATAAATAATAATCTTTATACCATTTATAGATATTTTCTAACATACATTTTATTCTGATTGTAAAAGGCAAGTGTGTTAAAACTGGTTATTTCCGAACTTGAATCTGCAGGGTTTTCTGCATTTTATTCAATGGGATAGTAGTGAGTAGTAGAGAAATTTCAATACAATTTTGCCCAAGAGCTCAGTGCTAGGGTTAAACGAAAACCAATAGAACAATTTCACTTTTGAATTTAACATAATAGTAATAAATTTTATGAATATTACATAAAATTATTATCAGATACTCTGATATATATTTAAATTACTATTATATAAAAAAATTAACTATAATTAACTATTAAATTACTAACAATTAAAAAAAATTAACTTAGATCTTGAACATATTTTGTCAAGCAAATGAACATCTTAAAATTTTTAATATAGTAAACACTATTATAGAAAATACTGGATAAGAGACACTCTATTTCAAGAGTTTTATTTTATAAATAATTGACTTTTAAGTCAGATAAAAGTGTTCAATACAGTTAAAAAAATTATATATGATTTGGCTTACCAACTCTTCATCTGTTGCATAACAATCGATATCATGCCTGCGAGACCAAGTTTGATTAATCCATTCGGCAGTCATAACTGGAATTCCCATACTAACAGCATACTTAAAATAAAATAATAATGAAAAAGATATAACATATTCATTTCATAAGTCATAAGTAAAGAAATCACTAAACTCAAATAGATTAACATATTAATGTAGAAACAAATCACATTGCAGAGTAGCTTCATTTTTCAAATTTGTAATAAATATTAAAACAATAAAATTCAAGCTTTGACATTTCTTTCAAAAAAAAAGTTTCTAGCATTTTGATAAATTGGATTGGAAGAAATGTATTTCCTCTGAGAAGGTTTTTTATGCTGTGGAATACCAATGTCATGTTTAACTATGAAATAAAGCAAGCTTGTAATAATTTTCTTTCTACTAGTAGACCACTTAGTCTGTCTGTATTACTTTCTTTAATAAGAAAAACAAATATACACTAGTTTGAAATTGATATAAAATATAATAGGTATGCAACTTATGCAGCAATAAAATAAATTTCGAACTTCATTGAACAAACTAATCATTGTATAGATAATAAACATTTAAGCCAAAAGGCAAAAATTTCATAACATTCAATAAAGGAAAACAAAAAATTTTGCACTTCATTGAACAAACTAATCATTGTATAGATAGTAAACATTTAAGCCAAAAGGCAAAAATTTCATAACATTCAATAAAGGAAAACCAAAAATTTTGCACTTCATAGAACAAACTAATCATTGTATAGATAATAAACATTTAAGCCAAAAGGCAAAAATTTCATAACATTCAATAAAGGAAAACAAAAAATTTTGCAATCAATTATTTAGATAAATTACTTTACATACACAGTATGAAAAAATTTTTACATTAGAAATTGATTACGATTACGAACCAGAAATACAGATTGTCATTTTCTTAGTGCACATGAGAAATAAATACTTTTAAAATTTTAATAGGTCAAAATATACAAAAAAAAAATAGATATACCCGGTATTTTTCATTTGTTTTTGCAGAAGATGTTGCCACAAGGTGTGTAGTTTTAGCTATGTTAAAATCTTTGCGGATACTTCCGCCCATGTGATGGACCAAAGAGACCATACCAGACTATAAAGAGGAAAGAAAATGTTACTTTAGAAGACAAACATTGAAATAAATTTCAATTATGAGAACAAGTTATTCATAATTCTTAAAAATCACCACTACATATTTATGAGACTGATAAATTGTTCAACAGTAAGAAAAGTATAGTACATAAAATCATTAAAAAAAATTCAGTTTTTACAAGTAATTTAAGAAAAAAGTTTTTTGCTATGTCAGAAAATTTTAGAAACACATAAAACTGTACATTTGTAAACATGTAAGTTTAAAAATTAACCTTTGAACTTACACAATGAATTAATGCTTTTATAAATTCGAACCGTTTATTTTGCTGGAAATTATCATTAAACTTTTTTTTTTCTATAAAAATGCACACTAAAAAATGCTAAAAAAAGAGACATTTTTATTTAAATTTAACTGATAAATAATTTTGATTTTGAAACAATATTAGAAATAAAAAACATACCAATTCTTCCTTCACACGGAAACCTGTGAAACTAATAACCAGATTTTTCATTGAAGTTGTATACAAAGGTCGGATGTTACTAGGCAGAGGCTAAAGCAAATAGAGAGTACAAAAATAATAGGTAAACATAGCAGATAAACATATTATGTTTGTTTACAGTAGTAAAACGAACATTGTTGAAGAATTTTAGATACTAATACTATTTTTGAATAATTCTAAAACTATTCAAGCATATTCATTTTACAACTTATAACAAATATCATTCTGCATTTAGTGCAAATAATTAAAAACTTATTATAAATTTTAAAAAATTATTTACCTCACTTTTTTTAGCATATTGAATTATGGCTGTGGGACCTAGAATTCTCTCTCCTGCTTTAAGAAGGCGACTAAAGAAATCTCCATCAAATTCATTGAAAATATATATGTTTGTAAACTGGGTTTCTAGATTAGCTGACTCTTTTAGATTGAACACAATAGGAAGATTGAAGTGCTAAAATTAAAATTCAACATATAGAATATTATTCAACAAGTGGAATATAGAATATTTGAAAGGAAACATTTTCACAAAATAAAAGTGAGAAATTTTAATTAGGCAAGAATTAAAACAATAATTCAACAAACTTAATTCCTAATTTTAAAGCATTTAATTTAAAATACAAAAATAGAAAATTTACAGCACTTCATTCATGGACAGACTTTATTTTCAAAAAAAGCATTCCAAACAAATAGCAAAATCAAGGCTTTTCCCAAGACTAAAATAGTAATTGAGTTTAAATTCTAAATATGATTTCTCTTATTCTTTTGCTGCCAAAGTAACTAGAACATGTTTCTTACAGTTGAAATTTAATGTGTTGTGTGAAATAAAAAATTAATACTTTTCTTTAGGTTGGCAACGTCTTTTGTATCAATAGATACAAAAGACGTTGCCAACGTTGACAGACGTTGAGATACTACAAGATTAAATTTCAGTAATGAGCTAGCTTATATATAGACGATTACAATCAAGTTCAGCCTCAATACAAATTATCCAAAGAACTGAATTAAATGCCAGAGCCTATACCATTTAAAAAAATTTATCATAAAAATTATGTAATAATATTTAAAAATAAGTCACATTTTTTAAATAAAAATACAGCAAGTACCGATAAATTTCAAATAGGATTTTAAAAACTTGAGAGCAAAACTGAATTTAAAAAATTGTATTTAATATAATTTATTACGTAGATAATTTTTAATATATTATTACAATATACATTTTAATTTGTGCATTAAATAAGCAGTTCAGCAAAATATATTAATAGAAAACACACAATGATTAAAATAAAAAATTAACTTACTTTTACTGATTTCATGAATGCTTCATTTTGTTTTAATTCATCTCCCACAATGCAAAATCTTAAATCTGCAACAAAAGAATAAAAAAAATTATCTAAATTGAATTCCTATAAAAAATAATCAATACATTTTATTCCCATTAAAAAAATAACAGTATAGAAATCTTTTTACTCATTACTCAAAATAAGTCAATAATTATCAGCTTAAACTCTCTCACCCAATTCGGCAAATTTAGTTTAGCCATTTGGCACACTTAAGAAATTTAATTCCCTCTCTTTTTTTTTTTTTAACAGAAAGCACAGATAAAATAAGTCGATATTGCACCTTTAAGTAACTTTTCTAATGAATCTCATGATGAATCTGATTTCATAACGTCAATGAAAATTCTGATATCAAAATGCAAATGTTTTAAATCACAACTAAAGATTTTTTTTTCTTTTTTGCACCACGTAATTCACTTTAGTGGAACTTTTAGCAAGAGAATTATGATTTTTTTTTTGTAGCCATGTACTGTAAATAGGGAAATCATCCTTACATCAAGATTTTAATGTTTAAATTTTAAGTTAAGCATAAAAAGTAATAACATTAAGTTCGATATAGTAGTAATATTAGGGAAAAAATATTTTTTAACAAATAAATCCAATTCTTTATTAAAAAAAAAAAATAAATAAATAAAATATTAAAAAAAATTCAACAACTGAGTAAAAGTTAAAAACAAAACATATGCATACTTTCAGATTTTTAAAAAACAAAACAAAAAGAACAATTTCATTACTACTAACGTTAGAATTAAATAATACTGTGACAGTTATAAATTTTACAAAATGCAATTACTAATTTTTAACATAATATGCATATTTTGATAGAAGAATAAACTTCTTCAATCTCTTAAAGAGTATACAAATAAGAGATAGCATAAACTATTGCACAAAAAATCTTTACTCGTTCTCCAATAGATAAAATAGAAGCAAAAAGTTAAAATAACAAAAAATATCAGAGGTCAGCATTAGGCACTAACCGCCTTTACTACCCAGATATGATAGTAACCAATCTATCTGAAACTGAGTGGATTTAAAGCCACTGGAGGAGATCGAACCCAAGAGCTTCACAATGACAAATCAGATAGATAATAATTTTTTCTATATCTTTTATAGACATTTTCTAACATATATCTTACTCTGATAGTAAAAAGAAAAAAGTAACCTAATTTTATCAGCACATATAACCACATCAATAATTATCTGATAGTTCACCTTGAAATTAAGTAAGCATAAAGATGATCAAGAGCAATTAAAATTGAATTTATTAAATAAAAAATAAAATATCAAAACATAAATCTTGCAACCACTTAAAAAAAAAAAAAAAAACTCCAGTTTAAATAGGAAAAATTGGCTGCTAAGTTATTTATAACTTATCTTGAGAACCACTCTTGATGTTTCTAAGTTATTTACTAGAATAATTGCAGACACACGTTTATGATCCAGTAAAGGGTCGAATTATAAATTTTATTTGGCAAGATGAGGATTTTCCGCCTCCTGAAAATATATGTTTGTGGTGCCTCAGATCAAACTATAATTTTCTTTTCTTTTTTCAATTTAAAAAAAAAAGTGAGCTGAAAATGTAATTTTGATTTGTAAATTTAAATCAAATGTAAAATTGTAAAAATTTAAATAAAGTTTCGAAAAAAATTTTAAAATTTAAATCAAATGTAAAATTGTAAAAGTTTATAAGGCTAAAACAAACTAAAAATGATAGCAGTCATCATAATCCATTTTATACTGTTGAATTGAATTTTCTCTAAACAGAAAAAATGGGAGGGGGATATTTTTAAATTAATAAAAAAATAAATTATCATCATAAATCTTTCATTTCTATTATTCATAAACAATCAATATATAATAATCAATACGAACAATCAATAAGAACATCCAACAAAACTAAAACTTGCTAAATATATAAATTTTTTAAATAGTATAATCAAAATAAAATGCTCAGAAAGTTTTTTCAAAAAAAAAAAAAAAAAAAAAAAAAAAAAAAAAAAAAAAAAAAAAAANAAAAAAAAAAAAAAAAGATAACTTTGCAGCAGTATAATGAAATTTAAAGCACAAACACAATCAAAGGTAATTTCATTGCACACTGAGCTACTAAAAAAAAAAATATTTTATTACTTTCGTTAAAACAATTTTAACATATTTTCAAAAGAGGCACATTATAATGAATTAATAGCTTACCAAGTTCAGATAATGGTGTAAAATTCTGGATTACGTTACTAGCCATAGTTAAAAAGCAGAAGCCTAAATCTATCCTGTAATAAATTAAACAAATGATGATTTAAATTTTCTCACCAAAAATATACGATCAAAAATGTGTGATAAACATTTATAAAAATGATGGTTTAGTATAATAAAAAAAATAAATAAATAAAAGGTTAGAGTGCAGAATAGGGTGCCCCTAAGATTAGGCACTGAAACTTGGAGCCTGTATTGCAAATTAAATTTTCCATTTTCTTATTATTTTTAAAAGCAATTTTTTCATTCTAAGAAAATATATTTTCGTATTGTGATCTGTCCTACTAATAACAGTTGCCAAGGCGCCAAATTTTTTCAGAAAAACATGTAGAGGTAAGCCCAGGGTTGGTTGCAATTTTACAAGGATGGCCCCTTTAGTCATACCATATCCCTTCGATAATTTTTTTTCTGTTTCTCGTAGGCCACTGTTTGGAAGTTGCCAGGATTTGGGGATTAATCTGCTGCAGATCATGATACGGATATATTCGCAAGAAAATTTCACTTTCAAGACCATCACCCTGCTTTCTGCAAGAACATAAAAAATTCTCAAAATAAGAGGGACATTCTATGAAAAACTTTCATCAAACCAAATATATTTATATATACTACATAGATCATTCAAATTTAATCAGCATTAATTAGAAAAAGATTTTTTTAATGTCACTTAATTACTATATTAGGATAGGGTAACTTAATTACCACACTAAATTACTAGGGGAGGCATTAGACACAAGTGTTGATTATTTTAGGAATTAAACCATCTGTTCATTAAACCATCTATTATCATTTACCATATAGCACAGAAAAATAGTTCAGCAATAATTGAGCTAAAGGTAAGTTTTAGAGGTATAAAAACACAGCTTTTATTGCTAATTAGCTCATCCCATTTCCATTAAACAAACAGTAAATACAAAATCCTAAAATATCAAAATTATCCTTTAGTAAATAAAAACGAACCTTTTAAATTCAAACGTTTCAACAGATTTTAAAAGGAGGATTTTAAATCCATTTTCTAGGGATTACCAAATATTAATATGGAATACATAAAATCAATCAATATCAGCTAAATAAAAACAAATGTTTACAAATTTAAATATCGCTATCTTCAGAAAGAAATTTTAAATACGGCGGTTTATTTTTTCATTCACCATCTCCATAACAAAGTAACGAACGGACGAATCTGAAACAGAAACATCCAATTTAACGAACGGAATTTTAAATCTGAATGCATCTTGATTAAAAGTAATTGCATTAAATATTTAGAGGAAAAATTTAAATGAAGTGTAAAAAGAAAAAAATTCTTGTGCAGTTGGAATTTTTTTTTTTACTTTCATTTATTAATAATCTTTTTTCAAAATAATTTATCACAGCTGCAAAAATTTGTTAGTTTTGAAAAGTTTAATCTGTCTATATCGGTCATTCGAAAATAGATTATATAGTATGATTCCAACATCTCCGAGATAAACCTACTCAACTGAATCAACGCTTTGGGTCTATACAGTCTAAACAATTTTTGATTACGATGAAAGGTATTGAAATTCTTTTAGCAGACGTATTTATTTTTGTTTACCATTGCGTAACATAAGCGTAGTGTAAACTGAAATGGCGGCGGTGTCGAATGCATTACGTTATAATTGCTGCGTCATTCGCTTTAATTCTGACCGAGAATTCGGTGTTTGAATTCATTAGAATACTTGAATATGGTAAGTATTTCACTCACTATAAAACAATGTTCATGTTACTTGCTTTCATTTTTCTTACTAACTCTTCGATTGACCTTCCTTATGTTTCTAGGATATGTGTGATTTCCAAAATACTAAACGCAATTTATTATCCCAATAAATTAGATTTTTCCTTTTTCTCCACTAATCCATAAATTCTTATAATTTGTGCAATTTCATCATTTATCATTCCCCTTTGTGGGGAGATTGTTGTCATGTGCATCTACTGTAAACAAACACCTGTATTATCATTAAACCTCTAGGATACTAAAGTTATTAAAATACACTTCCGAAAATATTTCTAATGTTCATATGCATAGGTAAAATGAACATCAGTTGCTAATAAACATAATGTGTCTATAGATTTTGCTTTTTAATATCTTAAAATAAAATATATTTCAAAAGTTTGCAAAAAAATTCGATTTTGCCAAAATAACATTGGAAAATTTTTAGATTACGTAGATCAATTTGCATTTTGCCACTAAGTTGGCTTGCTCTCATATTAATAACTGAAGCTTCTAATTTCTTCTATGTTAACAGAGACATTTTAATATCCCCTCCATGCTACTTGTAACTTACTTGTGAACCATGTTATTGTCACCACACCCTTAAAGAATTTGATCGTCATACTTTCTAGGGAGTTTTATTAAATGGAGCAAATTTCAGGGGCAGGTCTTCTTTACAGACAGGCATGTGCAAAATATCTACTAAACTACTCTGAATCTCGCAAATTTGAACCGCTGAGATAAAAAAAAATTTGAAACACCTGCAACTACATTATATTTTATTTACTGTATTATTGCATAATGTTCATTTAAAAGTAAGGCTTAATTTTACTGTAATCAGTACTAAATTAAATAATTTATACGAAGAGAAAAAAATTTGGTACTTACACTTCAAGAAGATCACAGATACCCACACATGTGATCTATGATGGCAGCTCCAGCTGATCGTTTATAAGCAAAATGGCGTCTTAAAATTGAGCTAAGTTTCTCCACATAAGTTAGAATATAATGGTGTATTTAATTAACATGAAGTTAATTAAATACACCATTATATCGCACATCAAATTTGTTGAAATGTAATTTTTTCTCGTCTACATTTCTTACTTAACTTAGATTTTTTATTTGTTTATGTGTTTTATGGTAACCCTTATATAATTTTGTTTTGTGTACCTGGCAACTTTGGTGCATTATTAGTTTATTTATGTTCTACATGGCTTCATGCCTGTTTTTCTATTAAGTAAGAAATATATCTGTAAAGAATTGAAATCTTTGTGTAAAAATAAAGAGAACTGATACTTGACGGGCTTGGCTTACTCAAAATAAAATGGAATCAACAGTTGCTAAAGTAAACAAATGCCATGTTTTAACAACCAATCAGGTTCGAGATACCCAGACAACGTCACTTGCAGGTATCCTATTGTCAGCTTCAACTAATTTAGCAAGTAAACTTCACAAAATAAGCAGTTGATCACAGATTATTCAGGATCGAGATTGATCAATTTGATGGCCAAAATAATCAGGTTTTGGTAATTAGCAACAGTTGCCTAAGAGAAACTAAAAATAGCATCACAAGGAGATACTAAAGATAGCATCAAGGAAATGAAAAATAGCATCACATCATCCCCAGATAAACCTCTACATATATTTTTTTTTTATTTTTAATTTTTGCAAATTTAAACTTTTCTTGGCATTTATATTTACAGGCCTACTTTTATATTACAACTCTTAATCGCCCCCTGATAAACCTCTACATATTCTCTTTACAACTTTTTGCAAATTTAAACTTTTCTTGATGTTTATTTTTGTCGCAAGCAGATACTGATGGGGATATATCTCCAATATTATGAAAGATCTAGGTAATTGGATAGCTTAAAAAAATATGGCAATGTTCTTTGAAAATTTATTTTAGCATTACAAATAACATGTTAGTTGAGTCTACTCTCATCGGAATTTTAATGAAATTTAAATGTTTTTCATATTCAGTCTTTTTCCTATTGACATTTTTTGCTTTTTTCATGATTAACATAGAAGGAGCTGGATAAAAATCAGTAAAATTTAATCTACTTTTAATATACTATATCAATTGCTAGAAAATTTTCTGTTTGATAACAGAATCTAAATTTATTTATTTTGTATTGGATTTAGTTTATTAAAATTATTTATTTTATATTAAACTTGGTTCCAAAAGCCACTTGAACTTAGAGTTTGTAATGTTCTTTAAAAATATTTAATGATTGTATTTTTGTACGGCTCTTTCCATTTTCATTAACACTAACTATCTCTGAATTCAATCTCAATTCTATAAAACTTCATAGCAACCAACAAAACATTTTTTTACAACTTATGTGCACTGAAATTCATATTTGTATTATGTGCACTGAAATTCATATTTGTATTATGTGCACTGAAATTCATATATATATTTGTTTTATTTCAGGAAAACTCAAACAGTAATTCAGTATCAACATCTAGTGGGGTTGGAAGCCCTACTGGTGGTGGAACAGAAGGTGTTGATGAAGCTCAAGATGAAGAACCATCTTCTTTGCACAGATTTGCTCAAGTTGAATCAGAGTTGGAAAATTTTCGCAAACAGTGGAAGAGAGAGATTGAATTATCACCTAATAATGACAAGTTTAACTCCACTTTTAACAAGAAAGCTACTGATGCAGAAGAAATCGAAGAGAAGGTTAATATTATGTCTTAATTGAATGTGTATTTGTAATGCACTTCTTTTATTAAAAGGAAGCAATTTTATTTGCTATTACATATAGTTTATTTTAAAAAATTATTTATTTTTTCTTAATAAAGTTAAATGAAATGATAAAAATCGTATATTATTATAAATATGGAGAACTTTAAACTTTGATACATGTGCTGACCCGATGAAGTGTGCATAATTCCTGTTAAATAATGCGACTTACTTATGACATCACACGGACTATCTCCTTTCTCATAAGACTACCTCTTTTCCCTTAAGACAAGATAATCTCCTATCTCAGAAGACATTTTTTTAAAAAGTCTCATGAGAAAGGAAATAGTCTCTACTATGATATCATAAGGCATTATCAGGAACTAAACACTTTTGTATCTCACCTGATAGTACCTTTAGTTAAATTTAACAAAGAAGAATATGTTTTTTTTTTTCTGTTTCCTACTAAAAATAGAATTGTGCTACTAATTTCTGTTTGTTAATTCAATTGAAACTTTATTTTTCTTACTATATGTAAATTTATTTGCAAATTATTCATACATAGTGAAGGGTGAAAATCAACAGCGGTCCATTGGTCTAGGACTACTAAAATGTGATTTGGACAATCGTAGAAGTATAATCAGTGGGATACTGTTTCGGCTTTTTGATTTCATGTTTTGAAGTGAATTGTTGTCACAAAATAACATATTTCTTTTCAATTGTGAACATTACTCATTAATTACATTGCATTGTAATTTTTCTTTTAAATTCACTTCATTAGTTTTTTTTACAAAAAATTTCATTTAGACAAGCAATTACACCAGAGAAAATTTATGCAAACTATTAAATTTTCTAGATATTTACCCTTTCTAAATGGATATTTTATTAGGATCTCATTTTGTTTTATTATAGCAATGGTTAAGCGAATCTTTCTTATATTTTAGGCAAAATGTTTGTTTCTTCATGGCATTCGAGCTGAAAGACTTGGAAAATTGCAGGATGGTGAGTAATTATTAATATATCATTAATAAGTAATCAATTATGTGTTATTGTTCTTTTAGTCATGTTTTGCTCAAAATTTCTTTTTATAAATCGTTTATAATTACATATTGTTTAATTAAATAATAGGGAACAACTTTTAATAACCCTGAGATTTTTAATTTAGTTTTGAAAAAAAAAAAATTCACAATCTATTTACAAATATACACAATATTTTATTTATTCACAAACACACTTTAAATTTTTTTTAATAGTATCTTGCAATATTAATGTAAGCTAAAATTATTGTGTACTTTTATTATTACTTTTATTAATTTTTATGAAGTATATATATATTTTATATTTTAACTGCTTTTAGCAATTGCATTATATCGGCGAGCCATTCAATTAGTACCTGATATAGAATTCAAAATTGCTGAAACCATGTATGATTCCGGTAGGTATTTTATAAATACCATTCATTAATAAATTTGCTAAACATTTCATAGCATTTCATTAAAATTTCTTTCTTTTTTTTTTCTTCCTAGGTGAAGCTTTTAATGATTCTGATGAGGAAAGGTATCTTTTGTTAACAACTTAATCTTTTTTGTACTTTTATTAACTGCTTTACCAAGAAACAAAATAATGACACGGATCCACATAGTAAAGTTTCATTAACTATTCAAAAAGCATCTGGATGGTGATTTCTGTCATTTTAAAAATTTTATTATATATAATTCGGTAATAAGTAAAAATAAGATTGATTTTATAAAAACCTAAAACAGCTAAAACAAATTGGGAAATTCTGTTTGATTTAATGATATGCTTTCTTTTCTATTTGATTGGAAACAAAGTTTAAATTATTAAATCTTATGTTTAAGCTTTTTTTTCTTCTTATGTTTAACCATATAGTTAAACATATATTTCAATTTAATATTTTTTGTGAACAAAATTCATAAATCAGAAAAATTTCAATCTGAAGTTGCACAGCAGGTCTTGGCCCTTCACGGGATGTTGCACCATTTAGTTTAGTTTTTTAACTTTTGCTTTTAACTATATTTGAGACAGTTGGAAACAAAAATTTAAACCAAATAACAGTTTCCATGCATTTATTTTTTTTAATCTGTTTTTTTTTTTCTTTTTTTGGATTAAAAGCGTTCTTGTAAAGTTGTAAAATAAATGTTTTACTGCTTAAATCAATAATGTATGACAAAAATTTTTATTAATTAAACTCTTTATGGAAGTCTATGAATAGTTTTTTTCTTTAATGAAAAGTATTTTATAATTTTTTTTTCTTGTTTTCAGTGATTTAGAAGAAAATTCATCAGACAGTAGTGATGAATTTGATAATTTAATAAATAAGTTTCAAAAACTAGCAGCAAATGATGGAACTACAGAGATTTGCCAAAATAAGTTGGAACAAGTGGTAATTTTGAATAATTTTTTCTTCAGTACCGAGGTTTTTAAATCATTGTATTAACCTGCTAACTTATGTTAAAAGTAAACTGTTAAAAATTTGGAAGTTACTTCCCACTTTCAACCCAAAGGGTATAGTTGTGGGGTCTAGTTTTGTTTCTGTAGATTGCTTGTTGTTGAATAATTAATAGGTGTTTTATTTTTTCTTCATTCCAAAATTAATTTTTTAATTAATTGGTCTTTGAGGACACCCTGTATTAGCTATTCCTTTGTCTCTTTTGAATTGTCTTTTTTTATTGATATTAAGTCTTATATTATCAAAAAATGCCAAGTGAGCATCTAGTTTTTTCTCATGCTTGAAAGAAAGAAAAACTGTAAATGAAGTTAGCCTTTATTTCTTTTCGTATGTTTTTTTTGGGGGGGGGGGCCTTGTTAGTGAATTTTTTATTATTATTTCATATCAGTTATAGTTATTGCTATTTTAAATAACTATACGCTCATAATTTATCATTGTTTATAAAAATTCACTAATGTGTAGTATCACAAATTATTATGTAAGATTTTTTTTAATTAAGCTTATTAATAAAAATATACATGTAGCTATATTTGTATCGTTGTATTTTTTTACTTTTTATTTTTTTTATCCTGTAAGACAAAAAATAAAATTAAAAAATTGTGACTATTCATATTATAAAATAAATTTGAAATCAAAGATAAAAATTTTTATTCTACTTTTTCTTAATGTTTTACTAAATGTAGTCAATTTTAAATATAATAATAATGCTATTATAGTTTCAATATATGCTTATAAGCTTATGATTGGGTCAATTTTGTTTAGGTCTACTTTAAAACAATAATGCACCATAATTATTGCATGAAATAGTTTTATTAGCCTTTGTATCTTCAATGCTTAGTTAAGAATGTTCGCATTTTCTTGCATTATTGTGATTTTCAATTTCTTGTTAGATGAGTCACATATCATGTTTGCCTCCTGAAATCTTTATCTATATCTTAAAGTGGGTTGTTAGTCAAGATCTTGATGTAGTATCTTTGGAGCAAATATCAAAGGTATGAACAGCTATGTTTTTTAATTTTATGTTATTATGTTTTTTTTATTTATTATTACCTTAACTAAACACCTTTATTTCTATGCCTAAATAAGTTATAATCTTAGAAGCAACATTGAATGTTATGTTGCGTAAAAGTCACATAAATCATTTCAATCTTGTATCAAGATTTATTATTAATATTTATATTATAGAGACTTAAAGGAAATTATTTTGTAATGGTTAGAAAGTATTGTAATATGTAACTTACATTTATCCTCTAGCCTAGGGCTTAATACCAATTTGAGGAAATGCTTATATCTTATGCAGGATTTCACTTTTTTTAACATGGAGGAATAGTTTTATTTTGTAGATTAGGGAAGTTTTGATACAGATCAAATAGTGACTTTATACATACAAGACTATCATATGGTTACTAATTATAATTTTCATTCGCTGTGTTTCATATGTAATTTTATTTCGCCATATTTACACTAGAGATGGCTAAAGATTTTTATTCACCCTGAAAATCATTGAATCCATGATAGATATAGCATTTAGTAATTTCTAATAGATGGAATTTAGTACTCATTTTTATTTACTGTTCATAAATTTTAAATTTGATTAATTATACAAACAGAAGTATCGAAGTATTGATTGATCGCTATATCATAAGTATAAACAAATGGCAGGTCACATCTGAACATTTTTCCTGTTAGAGTTGGGAGCTAACAGGTACAATGTAATCAAAAATGATACAGTTTATAAACATAAGTATATAAATACTGTTAATATATTTCTGAAACAGAGTTTTAAAAGAAAGTAAATAAAAAGTTACATGCTGTTAAATTTATTAATATCATTTTTCATAACATAATTCAATTGTGTTGAATAAAAATGTTCTTTGATGTTATAATCATGATTTTATTAGTTCAAATTTCTTAGATTTAATTTTTAGAAAAAAGAACTCTCTTTTTTTTTCTTTTCAAAGACTTAGTATAGCTTTGAAAGATTCTATATTTCTTCACAAAAATTTATTTTACATCTTTACCTAAATTAATTATTGATGCCTTAAAATTTGAAATCTTACCATATGAAAGTTATATATTTTATAAGTTATGTTGCCAAAAATTATAGTTTAAAGCAGTATTTTGTTTTAAAAACATTGATTTACTACAGGTGCATTACATTTTTAAAAAAAATAATAAATTCCTAAAGAATTATGATTTATTTATTATTTTTTTTAATTGCTCATTTCTCTTATAGGTTTGTCGTGGTTTCTACATTTGTGCAAGAGATCCTGAGATATGGAGATTAATTTGTTTAAGGTAATTAACTATTTTCTTCTTAAATTGTTGTTTAATTTCTTTTTATCTACCATTTTAATTATAAAATATTTTATTATATTTCTTAGTTTACATGTTGTTTTTTGACTTTTGTACAGTATCAAACAAATGATCTGCTATTTTAGAATGGTTTAGGCAACAACAAAAAAACTGTAAAGTAAATCATTTGTTTGCTGTGTACACAATCATTGTACATAAAAGTTTGGACTCTCTAAATCAATTGTCTTGAAGGGGGGGGGGATGGATAGATTAAAGGTTGGAGAATTTCGGCTTATTGCTGAAAATTTCCATAAGGGTTTGCTCTTCTACTTTGTTGAAAAACGTCATTCACTTGGAAACCAATTAAATGTATATATTAGTAAAAGTCTAAGCTTATTTTTTATTTGTTTGTGTTTCGTTTATTTATTTTTATTAATTAAAAATTGATTGTCCAGGTTTTTTGCCACAACCTGTAATGTTAATAAAACCTATTTAGATTATTTCAGAAACTGGCAGATTGCCGTTTGCATCATTCAGAAATTCTACCAACATTTAAAAAAATAATATTTTATTTAAAGAAAAAAAGCAATAACTTGATTAATTACAGTTTAGTGGGAAGGCCGGAAACATCACATTTGTGTATGTATCAGTTGATGAAAATGTTGAAACTTGGTGACAATTTAAGTAATGATATTAAAAAATTAAGTGCAAAGTGATATTGATGAAGATATGAAACCGAACCATAGCCAGTCATTTGCAGAGGAACTTGCAGCATTCTCAAAAACTTTCTGAAAACAAACAGCAATCTGTTACAAATAATGTATTGTTTATATTGAGAAGGGGAAAAAAAGAGAGTTCAAACCAAAATTTTAAATAAGTGTTGATTCATCTTTCTTTTGCATTATAAATATTTTGGCAGCAAGTACAAAATTTTTTATATTTGTTTTAAATTTAACAGTTTTTAAGTCTATTACTTCTTATTTTTTGTGCATTTTCAAATCATTATTTGACATTTTATGTTGTCTCACATACATCCTTNACTTGATTAATTACAGTTTAGTGGGAAGGCCGGAAACATCAGAAAAAAAAGAGAGTTCAAACCAAAATTTTAAATAAGTGTTGATTCATCTTTCTTTTGCATTATAAATATTTTGGCAGCAAGTACAAAATTTTTTATATTTGTTTTAAATTTAACCGTTTTTAAGTCTATTACTTCTTATTTTTTGTGTATTTTCAAATCATTATTTGACATTTTATGTTGTCTCACATTCATCCTTTTTCTGTATGTATCATTCATAACGATTGGTCTGGTCAATTGAGCTTCTACTGTATATAAAATTTTAAAATTAAAAAATAACTATAAAACAATAGGATTTCTTTTTAGTTTGTTTACCAAATAATAATTTCACTAAAAGTTTCTATAAAATAGAGTTTAACAAGCTTTCACTTTTTAAATTATTTAAATATCGATTTTGTTTCTGCTCATTATTTTAAATTATAAAGCATAGTTGCATTAAAAAAATTAATATATCTATATAAAAGTTATTTAGTAGACATTAAATTGAAATTTTTTTTTTCATGTACATAACCAAGTTGTACATTTGTTTAATAAAACTTACATTTATTGGGATTGTGATTCATATATGATCCACCTAAAGCAAATTAGTGTATGTTATTTGGTGCTGCAAAATCTTGCAGTTTTATTTTCATACAAAAAATTTTACTTTAGTAATTAAAAATTATATAAATTAGAATTCAGCTTTTCTTTCTACTCAACATACTATGAATTATTTTGTAGTATATTATTTAACTTAAACTTGAAACTGAATTTTCCCTCTAGGATATGGGGTGTCAATGTAGATCCTCCTAATCGTTATGGCTCATGGAGAAATATGTTCATTCAAAAACCTCATGTTCTTTTTAATGGTAATTTAAATTGTATCTTTATGATTATTCAAAAAAATTGTTTTTAATTTACTCTTGTTTTCAACCAATGTTTTTCTTTTTGCTTGAGATAATCTCATCTAAAGATAAATTCTTTTAAATTACTTTATTTATGATACAAATATTATCTCTTAATGTGATCATTAGATTTTTAATGAATCTTAATGATCAAAGCTATCATTTATTTCTAGTGCTTTCTCTGCTTTTATTTGCCTTGCTCCCAATTTCAACATCACTAGTTAATTTTTTTCTTCATACTAATCTACTTGCGTTAATAAAAACCAATTCTTCAAATATAATTCATTTTATATTCTAATAGGTGTATACATTAGCAAAACGACATATATAAGATATGGAGAATCTTCGTTTCAAGACTCTAATTACAGGCCTTATTATTTAGTGGAATATTTTAGATATCTACGTTTCTTTCCTGATGGTAAGAATAATTTTTACCTTAGCTCTTAAGAGTAGAATAGCATTTTAAAGAAAAGTTCAGGGAGTAATTAAAAATTTTATTAACATAAGCTCACTAAAAAATGCCATTATCAGCATAAGTACATCACAATGTCTCTCTTTTTTTTCTTGAACAGTTAAAGTAAACATACAAGATGATTTAGAACTGATGTTTAATAAAATGCATGAATGTCAAGAACATAGTAACAAATAAGAATAATGTAGGTTATATGGTCGCAAACACAATACGTGTCCACAAAACAGGAAACTGAAAGAAGAAAGACAGCTCAATAAAATTATAATTTCATAGCTGTCAACCCTTCCGCATTTGTACTTATTTTTGCTATTTTTCCCCCTTTTACGCACAGAAGATAAGATCTTCTGCATTTTACCCGTCCGCCCGATAGCTAGTATTTTCTTTAAGTCAGACTATATCGACTGTACCCCACAGCAATGCTGAATGCGAAACGGTGTTTTCTGTAGTCAAAAAAAAATTTTAAAAATAGGACTAAATTCTGCTCATCGATGTCTGAAGAGACTCTCGAAAGACTTTTCATAATTAAGTCTAAAGAAGGTAGACTTTGTTTTGAAAGAAACTTCTTGAAAGAATTTTTAGTAAAAGCAAAATGTGCTACTAAAGCATCTTTGCAAAAAAAAAAATTTTGATGTAATTCTTTTTCCATAATTGAGTTTATATATAGTGCATACTATTATAGTGTAATTAAACTAATGTTAATATGTCTTGAAATATTATATATTTCCCTTTTATCAAGAATTAATATATGAATATTGTACCCTCAAGTAGCTGGTCAAAATTTTTGTAAATTTTTTTTTCCTTTTCTTGTTTTTTAAAAAAAGGGGAGTATTTTTTTAAAATAAATTTATTCGTAATTAGTATGCAGTTGCGAATCTTCTGCATGTTTAGACATTTCTTCTACGTTTTTTTTTTTTTTTGTCTGCATTTTTATAACTAAAGGTTGGCAGCTATGTAATTTATTGGACCAATTTACACTACATTTTTGTCAAAATTTAATGTCAAGTTATGATGCATGCACTCAGTGTTGCAGCCTCCAAATGTAAAGCATGCCTTGTAAGAATGACATATTGATCAGGCAATGTTTTCAAAATGTAGTTTTGAATAAATGGTTGTTGTGTGAATAGCATTGCATTTGTCACCATATAGATGATATTTGCTTGTTATTAAGTTCTTAACCAGCATGTTGATTATTGATCAATAATTCTGAATCACATACATAATTAGTGTGTCCTGGTAATTTTGTGTTTTGAATTCTTGGATTATCACTTGCTTAAATAAAATAAACTACCTGCCAAGTCTCTTGTTTTTTTAATGAAGACTCCTGTATTTTATGACTATCTCCTGTTTACCCTTATATTCTCAAATTTCTCTGTATTTCTAAGAAAAATTTTGCCAATAAAATATCTGCTGATGGCAATACTTCTCAAATTCCTCAACAAATGGTGCTATTGCCAGTACTGCATTATAATGGTTTAAAAAAATCTTTTTTAGATTAAGGTTTATATACATATTTTTTACTTTGCTAAATGTAAATGCTTATATTATTCCCAATTTTTAATTAATTTTTTTTTTACTTACACAATTATGAATGATGTATCAAAACTTTGCTAGTAGCCTAAGAAATACCGCTAGTAAAATCTCCGTTATTTGATTTCTCCAATGTTGGCAGGTATGTATAACTAATAGAAACTAAAAAAATGATAGAATGGATAATAAAAATCTTGATTAAGTTTTTAAGAAATGATCAAAGTATAGTTAAAAATATCGAGTAATAGAATGATGTATGTAATACTTAAGTGTAATATTTTAGGTGTCGTACTCATGCTGACTACTCCAGATGACCCTTATCAATCTGTTTATAAACTTCGCCTTCAAAAGCATAAACATATTAACGTCATGAGTGGTCGATATAAACTTGTGGGAAACACTATAATGGCAGTAGTTAAGAAACCTAAAGTTGAAATTTCAACATCTTCAAATTACTACCATCATCGACGCCAAAGGCAGGCTAATCTCCAGGAAGCCAAAGAGCAGACTTTTCATATGGTAAATAAAACTCATTATAAGGTTGTGTAGGTAATCTGACTTAACATGCAGTAACTTATATGTTATGAAACTTCCTAAAAGTAAAATAACGCTGGAACTACAATTTTATCTTCTCTTTTGGGTGTTTATCTAGTTCCCATACCTTAAAAGTTAATTTTGTAATATTGTTTTTTCATAATAATTTAGACTTTTTCCTATTAAAAATATAATCAGCAGTTTTAATTTTAAAAAAATCACTGGCATAATACTTACTAAATTAGATATAAGCAGATAAAATACAATTTTTATGGGAAAACAAAGGCATTGTAGCATCAAAACTGCATTTTGTTTTAAGAAAAAGTTTTATAGCTTAAGAATAGCTGCTTGGACAGGAAACAATTTTCTTTCGAAAGCTTAATTTTTACCTATTACCTTGATTTTAAAAAAAATCTGTATTCTCAATATAAATTATTTTTTGTTCATGAAAGTTTTTTATTGTAAATATTTAACAATGGTAATAATATCTAGTTTGTACATTTTTTATAGGAACTTGAATTGAATAATTACAAAAGAAGAATAAACCATCAGCTTTCTTGGACTTGTTACTCCATACATATGATTTATCGGTAAGAAATATGTATTCAAACTACATTTTAGTAAAGTCATTGCAAATTCAGTGTGCAGAAATAAAGATCCCCCCAAAAAATTCCCTTGAATAACTAATTTAAGTATGGAGTTTAAAAATGCTTCATTTTTAAATCATAAAATGAGCGCAAACCCTGCACTAGCAAAACATATTATACTGTGGAAATTTGGTTAAAATTGTAAAAAAATTTATAAATCAAACTTTAAAAAAAATAAAAATCTTTTAAATTTAATGTCAATGAATAAAAATATATTGCATACATTTTTTTAATAAATATTTACATGTATGAAATCTTCTAAAAAATTTTTCATCATGTTACACTAGAATTGATACCAAAAACAAACCTATAATGTTTATGTATATTAAAATTATAATTGGTTTAAAAAAAAACAATTATTCACTTCAAAACTGTGAAATTTTTTCTAGACTTTTAACTCTTACTGCCATAATTTTCAAATGAGTTAATGCGGAGCTAGATTACGGATAGATCTCCGCAATTGGCTGACCATAATTTTGTATTAAATATTGACTTAAAAATACTGATTTAGTCATTCTATTAAGCTTTATGCCAACGTATATATAAGCGCATTTTATGTATATTTTGCTGTAAATTTGTCAATAAATGCAGCTTAAAATAAGGCATTACCAGATATAGAATGTTCTTTTTAATATATCATCTATGTCTTTAAGAGAATTTACTCACTAAATTACATATTTTTTTCAGGAATGGTGAAGAAACAGTTTCTAACTTTGATATTGTGCCATCTAACTTTCCACCTTTTTGGTTTTCTCGAGTAAAAAGCTTCACAACTGAATCAGAAAATCTTTTAATATAGCTCTAAAGCAATGTGATGTTGTAGATACAAAAAATTATATTAAATATTTTTATTGCTTCCTTGTAAATAAAATTGAGAAATTTATATGATAACTAAAAGAATGTTTTATTTTCACATAAAAATATTTACATATAAAGAATATGATGGGAGTTTTTTTTATATTCCTTTCTTTGCTGGCTTGGGAGAAATATTAACTTTCACTGGTTTACACAATTCGATAGTGCTGTCTTCAGCTTTTAACAGCCCAGTACTTCTTTGACTATTTCTTGCACAAACTTCTGTATCACTAAAGTCTAGTACAAGACTCATCTCCACATGACAAGCTTCTACAAATACATAATGTTTAGAAGTTATAAGTACTATTCTAAATAAGTGTATGAAAATAATGCTGCTATTAAAGAGGGAAAGATATAAATATTTAAAGCTTTTATTATTCAGATAGAATAAAAAGAAACAATTGTAGTGTTATTGAGATTTTAAAAAATACTAAGTTAAAATTAGTTTATACAAAACTATCATTTGAGCATAAGCTGCTGACAGTTATAACTGTCATAAATAAAATTTGTTTTTTTCTGATCGCTTACGTGATAGATTAAATAAATTTCAATTGTGGTAAACATATCAAAAACAACTGATCAAGGCACTTTTTTTTTCAGCTTTCCTCTTGTTTGATCCTGTAGATCCTTAATTCTAATATTGGAAAAAAATAAAAATTAATGAATATATTAAGTATGAATCAAAATATCATATAAATGTTGATATTCTGAAAGCATATATGGTACCTGCCAAGGTAAATTAAAAACTGAATAAATAATAACATTTAATATTGATATCTTAAAACCAATTCAAGATCAAATCATTCAAGGTCATTTTTGAAACCAATGGCCTAATAGCAATAAAAGAAAAGCATTTTTGCAACCGCCAGTTGTTAGCCTAGGGCTTTATGAAGGCTATGACTCCACGAATAATAAACCAGTGGTATGATAGTGACATTGTACACTTGTAATCTTTACTTCCCAGGGTAGCTAGTACCCACATATCTGAATTTAGGTAAGTTTCAGTTGCTCCTGATAATATCCTGATAATAGTTATATCCTACTTAGTTTATGTCATAAAAATAGATTTAGAAACAAAATTGAATAAATTATTAAAATTTTGCTTACCAGACCAAATACTGTGTGAAAGGAGGACTGATGTATATAACCTGTATTGCAATTCTCCCTGTTGTCGGAAGTCTGCTAATCGAGGTAGAATTAATTGAACTTGTTGGTCAGGATATTTGACCTAGAAATGAAAATATATGAATAAAATATTACATTTAAAAGTTAAGAAAATCATTGATTAAAAAAATATACATTTGAATCTAAAAAATTTTATCAATAAAGAAGTATAAAGTTGTTTTCTCAGAAAAAAAATTTTTTTTCATTTATCTTTTAAAGAAAAATTAAGAGTTAATATAGAAATAAATGACAATTTACATGGGATCGAATAACATAAATTGCGAGGGAAGTACGTCTGATCCCTTTAAATTATTGCATAAGTGTCCCAAACTGAGATTTTCCTACCTGTAAACTAGACTGAAAGCATTATGAACAAACATGGTCAGGTCACCTATTTTACAAAATCCTAATTAAATCTTATTTTTATAGTATCATCAGTTCTGAAAAAATAAAATGGAGTAATGTTTCAAATTTACTAAACTCCATATTATTTTATTTTCATGGCAATCAAATTGTATTTATTATATTGCCTGCAGAATAGTAATTTTTCCTTTTCTTGTCATAGGCAATTAATAACTTACACTAATTGTATATATTTACCTTTACTTTAACATTTTTCACATTCTCTACATTTTCAACTTCTGCATCCATTGTAATTCCAAGAACGAGTCCAGCGGTAAACTTGTGCACATTTTCAGAATCGGCAGCTGGTTCATGTATCACAGCGCTGGCTTGTTTTACCCTTGCAAGACCTTCAGGGCTGTCAACATTCAGTCGCAATGAGGGACATGGACAGGATTGCAATAATGGCTGCAGAACTCTGGCAACTGTTCCAGGTTTTGGGTCTTCCAGAGAATCCAAATCTCTAAATAGTGCAGATGTAAAACTGTCTGGGCTCAAACCCTGTTCCTCCTGAAATCTTAATTTGGAAAAACATCATTAGAAAAATAGAGGGGAAAAGATTACTTCCGTAGAATAGAAATTTTTTTTTTTTTAAAAAGTGATATGAATTGCCCCAAAAATCATAGAAAGCTTTTACCTGACTGATAAATCCATTTTATTTATCATCTGCTGCGTGATATTAGTAAAAAAGTTTCAAGTATAAGATATGTATCAAACTAAAATTTTCAAATATATATATGGCGGTGCATAGCCAAATCTTTCAACAAAAAATGAGCAGCTTTTAAGTACTTTTTAAACACTATATAAGTTAACAAAATGCAAAATAATTTTCTTTACATGATCATAATGAAATAACTAGTTTCTGACAAAGAACTCATTTTCCTGATTATATTAGCCATTATAAAAAGATCAAGAGATTTTTCGGTTTGATTTCAGAGGATGGAAGATGAAGAGTTGCACACGAAAGTGAAATAATCTCAACGAACTCGCAAGTATTTCATCAAACATGTAAAATGATTACCGTTCTCATACGCTATGGACCGACGATAAGCTGAAATAGATTGTAGTTGAATGAATTGTGAAAACGTTGAACAGAATAATGTGAAAAGCATGCTTTTGCATATTACGTGGAGAAAATCGATATGGTAAAGAAAAAAATATTTTTGAAAAGGGAAAATTAAGCACTTTTTAAATGAATAAAAAGATATAAACAAGAACAAAGATTAAAAAGGATGGAAAATAGATAAAGAAGAGATATGACTAAGAATGTCTGGAAGTAACAGATTCCAATATCTGCCTCAAGCTGATTTTTATTTTCACCATGTCTTTCCAAAACATAAATGTAAAGGACTTTCATGTTCCTTTTTATTAAATCTTTCACAGCTACTTATATTTTTATCAATAGAATCTGCATTTCTTTATTATTTCTTTTAACAAATTATAAACAATATTAACATGAATTACTTAAAAGGACGAAATATTGCATATTATACATTAAAAATTAGATTCTGCAAGTATAGTCGGTATTTGGCAGATTATGATAATTCAGAATCATGTTTTCAACAAAGTTTCCTTAACGAATTAATTACATAAACAAATAGATGCCAATGAAGTATTTCAGTAATAATAAGGGCAAATAATCATTTTAAAACAAACTATTTTCCAAATACGAAATAAGCAACTATTTCCACTTATTTCTGGGCAATTCAAAGGAACAGTTTTTACACTTTTAAAGCAATTAAGGTACATTAATTGAAAATTTATTCAAGAATATTTCGTTTTTATGTAGCATTAGTAGTTATACATAAATGAAAATGTGAACTTAGTTGAAGTTAACCTAAGAATCATTTTCTTTGTTTTGAAATAATTACCTTTGCAAAGAATCAACTTGTTCCAAAAAGGCTTCACAAGGTCCTAGAGCTGATGTATTACTTCCTCTTATTAAGACCATCAATTGTAAGGATAAAGCCCGAAGTCTTAACTGTCGTAAGCAAATGATTTCTTCACTATTCAATCCCAAGAACTGATGACTGAGACAAAATGAAAGTTGAAGTAGCTGAAAAAGAAGATAAAATTAAAAACAAGGATTTTATTGCTTTTAATTCAATTTAAAAAAATCTATGAAGAGAAAAAAAAATAGCTTAAAAAACATTTTTCCTCGCATTGCTGTAGACTAAAACATACTAAGAAATAAAATGTTGTGCATTTTATATTAAGAAAAAAAAACATTCTAAGTTAACTGAAAAATATCTTTAATAATACCCTTTACAAAAAATTTAAACTGTAATATTCAAAACAGTAAAAAAAGAAAAAGTTTAATTTAACTAATAAAATGCAAAAGTTTAAAATAAAGAACCCAAATACAGAAAATTATATAGGTAACATATACATAAGTTTTAATAATTATGCTTGAAAAATTTAAATTATTTTAAAATTAAAAAATATTGAATATATTCACCTTTTCAAGTGATGATTTGAGAGTACTGCTTTGCAAAGGTGACAACAATGATGGATTCAACCAGTTTTTGTTTGAAATAATCTGAAATATTTATTTGAAGAGAAAAGAATTTTGATTAAAAAGGTTTTTTTAAACATTATCAAATAAAATATTCTAAAAAATAATAAACGTTCATTAGTAATAAAAAGATTTAAAATTTTTCTAAAACAAAAAATGAGCCAAGTCATTTAAAGTGTAATAAAAAACAATTCATAATACTAAGAAAGTGTTATAAGTACAAAAGGAAATTATAAACTAAACTTACTTTAGCTAAAAGAAGTTGACATTGTATGTATAAAGCAGCACAATTGGCAGCTGCAGATAACTTAGGTTCAATAGCAGACAACTGCTTCAAATCCCTAAAATATTAATTTTCGGCATTAAGATATGATAAAACTAACAGTCACAACATAATCACGTTAAACTATCATTCAAAGAATTAGTACAACAATTAGGTAAAGAAAAAAAAAATGCAAAATAATTTTAAAAAATGAATAGTAACTAATTTTTGATTAAAATAGTAATTTTTTTCCAAAAGCACATCTAAAAGATTTCAAACCAAAATATTTATTGCATAAATTATTATTGTATGACAGTAGAAAAAAAAACCGAAACACACTAAGTTCGAATATGAAACAGTCTTAATTTAGAATAAAAATAAGTAAAAATTAAAATTTTCAGATTAAAATTTATTTATTCAAATATGAAGTTAAAAATAATTTTTAAGAAGAAATTCTAGTTATGTAATAAATTCAGTAATATTTATTGAAATACAAACAACTTTCAATTAAAAACAAATTTTAATTGAAAATTCTGGTAATAATTGATTTTGGGTATTTTAACAGCAACATTTATAAAATAATTTTCAAAATAATACAGGAAAAGAAATAAAATTCAAATAAGTCAGTTTTACAACATTAATGAAATTTCAGTTTTTTTTTTTCTTCCCCCTATAGCATTTTAGATAAAAATTGAACACAACTTCAAAAACATAAATTAGTAAACAAAATTAGTAACATAAAAATAGGCATATTTAGAAAATAAATTATCATTTAATGACTCAAAACTTTCATAATAATACAAGATTTTTACTAAAAGAATATAATTACTGTATAGAAGTTTCTAATATATTTTGTCTTGCTTTTGGATTACGGTGTTCAGCAGCCGCCACTCTTTCAAGAACTTGATTTAAGAACTTGCGTGAATGTTCATCAGATGATTCAATATCGATAGAACTCACTGATACATTAGAAAGCTAGAAAAATAATTGATAAGATGAACAAAAAAATACAAAGCTTAAAACTTTATTATCTCTTCATTTAAATACTTAGTAAAAATTGAATGTGAATCAATAGAAAGATTAAATAATTACTGATTATGAAGGAAATAATGCTGAATAGATTGTAAATCAAAATGTAAAAAATAGCAATGAAGTATAATGTCAATTTAAGTATTCTATTAATATCAATAAATAATACTTACATAAATAAAAAGACTAATATTCAAACAAACAATGCAACATTTAAACAATAATTCAGTAGGTAGATAAAATGAGTACCAAACATGCTTGGGAACTAAACACTTTGGGTAACGTGTTCCATTGACCATCCAATCGGAACATCTGCTCCTGCATCCCAGAACCCAAAATTCAGAAAACAGGGATGGGCACAGCAGACTCTGGCCCTCAATGGGCTGTTGCGCAACTGAGTTTTTTTTTTAATTAGCTGTTGCATCATATGTAATACTAACTTATGTAATTGAATCATTTTAATATTATTTTATAAAAATTGATACGCTAATAGTAAAATAAATTATGAATGAACTCTAAACTTTTACAATACCTTTAGATGAGGAACCAAGTGTGGCAAAGTGTCTTTTAAATAAGAATAATGTTTCTGAGTATATTCATCAAACAAAGAAAGCATGACATGACACTTTGAAGCAGCATTAAAAACAAGAATCAGATTGCATATATCTTCATAAATCAAGGGTAGCAAACCACAATTTCATTTTAAGTTCAAACATTTACATTTAAAGTAATAAGTTTATATTAATGATTAGTAAAATGAATAATAGCAGCGAACAAATTTTAAAGCTAATATAACTAATATTGCAGTTAAAAAAAATTATTTTGGTCAATGCATTGTCATTAATATAAAACATGTCATATTATATTTAATTTTAAAAATATTTATTAAAATAAAGCATTTTAATAATTTTTTAAAAAATACATATATTATAGAGCTAAAATTTAATATTTTAACTTTTATGTAGTTTAGTTAGCTAAGAATGAAAAGTGTCCAGATCACAGTCAGTTATCAGTCTATGGTGTCAAGGTGATAAAGGTTCGACAACTTTGAAACCAAGATAGTATTGTCCAAATACTTCTAGACCCATCAATTTGAAGTTGGAGTTGCTATTGGGGATAGATCCCCAGGGGCAGCTCCTTTGCAGGGTGATAATGATCAAGTAGCCACAAAAACCAATTAAATTAAGTATTACTTAATTCTATTTATACATTATGAGTTACCATCTCAACTGTGTTCTTTAAATGCCTATGTTCTTTAATTATAAGGTCTTACTTACTTATACAAGCAAGATCTTTTGTCATATTTTACAAAATCTTTACATAATTATACAAGATATTTAATTAAAATTGTCTTATCTATTTTTATCTGTACACAAATAAAAACTATGACATATAGTTACCTTTTTTATAGAGTTAAATATAGATATTTATGATATATTTCATAACAAAAAATACATAATAAATCATATAAGTGTTCATGATAAAAATAATATTACTCTAAATTATAGCATCGACCAGTTTATTAGTCAAAAGATATATTAAAATCTGCTCACAGTTTTAAAGTTAATGCTTACTATTAAATTAGATATAATAAGCTGTTTTATGTAATTAATTATAACTGCTATAGTTTGAAATTTTGTTGATGATTTTGGCTTTAATAAAACAATGTGATTCATAATAATGACATCAGAATTTTTACACCCAATTTGTAACACTGTAACATTAAAGGCGTAAGAAAATAAAAATTAGCTTGCTGTAAACTCTTCAACATAAAAATTTTAGGAGTCAATTAAATTTTACCAAATGTTTCAATTGTTCTTTCAGCCATCTAATTCTTTGAATCAACAAAATTTATTTAATTTCCTAGGATTATCTTGTGAGAAAAAAATATATATTTGCAATAGATAAAGCAAACCTTATAAAAATTAACTAATGCATGAACTATTCTGAAGCAATTACAATTTTAAACTTCTTTTGTTATTATTTAATTTCTAGTATTTTACTTTCCTTTTTTTTTTTTTTTTTTTTTNTTAAACTGTCGTTGAACAGCCGACCCAATTTTTGGGTTTACGACTTCTAATGTTCAACTCCGTAGCCTGTAATTTTGAACCCAATCCAGAAGACAAGAGAACTCCTGAATCTAAGGATATTTCACGTCAGCACTGTGTCACGTCAGCACGGTGCAAGCCTGTGGATTCGTATCGACCAGTCATTGGTGGTATTCGAAACCGATTCACCTCATTGGAAGGCGAACGCTATATCCCCTTAGCCTTCACGGCTCAATTTTTAGTATTTGTAAAAAGGATACATGCAGGGTCTTCAATATTTTGTTCAGTCATGTCAATGAAAGGATGAATGCTTAATAGCTCAGGAACTAAAGGCAATGTTAAGTAAGGGTGTCTCTCTCCAAGTTGCTGTAAGCACCTGAAGTCATTTTAAAGTTTACAGTATAAAATATACATAGAAATCATTACAGACATATACAAGAGCTTATATTTAACCTTTACATCCATACATATAAACAATAATTATTTGAATGCATCTTTTAAATTAACACTTTATGTTTAATGGACATCACACACTTAAATAAATAATAAAAATAACATAATAATTCATACTTTTAATAACAAACAAATATTTTCCTACTTTACTGTGTAAGAATATAATTTTTTTATTAGTAGGGAAATACATTTACTGTGATTTTATCAAACAAGTAAAAGACATAATATAAAAAATAAGCAAATTAAGAGTTATGAGAAATATACCTCCAAATAGATCTTTTATCCTGAGGGTATCGCATCAAATTTTTCAATAAACTATCTACACAAAACTTCAAGCACTCTTTTGTTGTTAAACGACAAGAAGCAAGCATAGTATGTAAAGCTTCTCTTAAATCCATTGAGAAATCCTGGAGAAGAAAGCAACAAAATAAATATTTATAGAATTTGATTACTAATATACAAATGTGCAAAAAGAAACAAACACATAAGGAAGAGGGGAAAAAAACATTGGAGAAAAAAAAGGTATTAAAAACAATATGACATTCAAAATTAAATCCAGACAAGGTTAGAAAAAGAAAGGTAAATTATTTTAAATGAAAACTTGAAAATTATATTAAGGGCACCAAACCATCTTAACATAAGTAATACATAATCTGAAATAATTCTGTTTGTGTAAAAGTATTCCCCAACTAGCCCGTTGAAGGAAGTTTAGAGGCTAAGTTCCAACTTATTTGAAACCAACAGCATGATGATGGTATTGTACACTGATTGGCGGTACTTCTCTGAATAACTGCTACTCATCGATCTGAAGTTGAGTAGTCTTCTAGCCACCATAGGGAATAGAACCTTGTTCCTACATAATAACAACTCAGTGCCTTAAGTACTGAGCCATTGTGGCTTGTTTGTATCCTTTACAAATTACATATGCAACGTATTTAAGGCTAACTATCCCTAGAGCACCACTTTGAGAAATCATCCTGAGATCACATTCCTTTTTTTCTCTCTCTATTGAGATGCAATTGTCCCTTAATAGTTATTATCTGGGCGTGATTTTAAAGACTAGAAAGTAGCAAATTGCTTGTTCAAAAAACAAATTACTAGTAGCTTCTGACGGTTGAGATTTTCAATCATTTTTCAGTCTTTTATTCACATGATTCAAATTTCGATATTTTTAATACAATGTTGTTGCGATACGTGAATTCCAAATTTGAGTAACTAACAACTGTTTGACTATCAACAATTTTGTTGTAAATCTACCTCATTTTTTGGAAGTTGTTTACGGATTTTCAATATTTTTAAAGATTATTTTAATACAATACTTCAACACCCGAATTTCAAATTCAACCAATCACTTTTCAAATGCTATATTGACTATTCCATTGTTAATCCCACGTCATTTTTCACTATTTTTTCAGAAATTTTTGTGGTTTTTTTCACATGGTTTTTCAAATTACAATATTTTTAAATTTCTAATATGAAGGTAGTACGACACATAAATTTCCAATTTGACTAATAACTTTTTGACGCGCCCAATTTACAACTAATCCGTAGTTAATTAATGTCCTTTTCTAATTTTTGCTTTTTCAGTAGTTATTACTGTCAGTTGTATTACTTACAACCTGGCAATTTCTCATTAATCTCTAATATTTTAAATACAAAATTAATAATATTGATGTAATGGTAATCGCACTTTTAAGTAATTAAATTTTCATACAAGGCAACATACATTAATATTTACCATTTAGTAATTGTTTCACTGCAATGAGGGACAGGGCAATTATTATGTTGAATTCTCTACATCACAAAATTTATTGCAATATTTGCTTTAGAAAATGTTAGTAAGAACCCTGATTTTACCAGTAGTATGTTTTATCACTAGCAAACTTTGCTGCTGATTTTAAAAAATTCTCTGGTTATTATAAAACCTGTCCAATGTTGATTCTTCACTGTTATTAACAATGAATATAAGATGCAACAACATATGTATAATTGTGGCACAAATATAATGTATGGAAACACTACAAAAAAATTAATTGATGGCAATGTTATTTTTAATATTAAACTATTAATTATATTGTGAATACTTTCATATCATACACATAACATATAAATATTTAAATTTATGCACTATAAGTGATAATATGAAACATAATATTTAACATAAGCAAAACTTGTAGAAAAACAAATTTTTGACCAAAATTTATAGTATAAATTTAGTCAGTAAAAAATTAAGAGTATATATAATTAAATTAAAACTTCGGAAGAAGAATGTGCCAAATAAATTTAAGAAATAAATTTTATTTGATTCTGTTACAGGTGAAAAAATACTTAATATTTTCATGGAATTTACTTAGCTTACAACCTTCAATTTTTTTACAATAATATGCAAGATAATAATATATGCTACAATAATATCCCTGAATAAGCATGCACCACAAAATAATAGCATATTTATGCTAATGTAACTTATATTTAGATTATTATCAGTGATAATTTATAGTTTTTCAACTGCTTTCATGTTGTATTACAGTTTTTAAAAAAATTCAAACAAATTATGAAAACTGAATAACAAGCTAATAAAATTATCTTAATATTGTTAGGGATAGTAAGTCATTCTGAAACAACAAACAGATATAAGTGCAAAACTAAAATTAATTGGCATCATAATTTTTAAAAGATGTTAATCTAACAAAGATTTAAAATTAGATAATAGAAAAAAAACAATCACTGGCTTTATTCCTGAAAAAAAAGTCATTTTCTTTAAGACATTTAATTTTTAAGTCGCACAAATTAGTGGCTTACTTGATGTCATGAGTACTTGATAAAAGTGAAAATTATAAACTCTGATTAGCATTGTTCTTTATAAAAATTTACCAAAATTGTAGAGATGCAAAAATAAACTTAAACAAACCTACTTAAACTTAAATAAATAAAATTGAATAATTCTAATTTATAAATGAATCTTGAATGTAAACTAATTATGCTCAATTTTACACAATACGTCTTATCATTTATACAGTACTAATAGATATATAATTTTAAAAATTATTTTAGTACTTTCATAGAAATAAAAACAGGTAAGTTTTCGTAATAAAAGTAAAAGAAATAGCTGCCAATGTAAAGAAACCTAAAGAAAAAAGATCAATGAACTACTTTTACGCACCTCTAACACCACTAAAATTGTTTTCAGCTGGTCCTCCCTCAACATAATATGGAGACTTATTTTTTGAAGACAGTGAATAGCTTTAAGGCATACTTCTTCAGTTTCATCATTGAACATGTCGACAAGAAAATCCAGGGAAATTGAAGCGAATGATGGAAAATAAGTAGCCAGCTTACAGAATGAATCCAAAGTCGCAGTTCGGACCTCTAGATTTTAATGAAATAATATACTTGAGTTATTCTAAATTTATCGCTAATCTAGATTCAGAATTAATAAAAAAACATAATAATATTCATAGAAAAATCAGCAAAATTCTCTGAGCATCAAACTCCCAATACATTTGANTTATGATAACCAGTGTACTTGAGTTATTCCAAATTTATCGCTAATCTAGATTCAGAATTAATAAAAAAACATAATAATATTCATAGAAAAATCAGCAAAATTCTCTGAGCATCAAACTCCCAATACATTTGAATGAAAATTTCTCATTTTATTAGTAGGTAATGTCCCTGCAAATAAGCAAAATAATTAAAATAAACAGTAATAAGTTCAATAAATATGCTTACAAATTAAATACAAAAAATTGTGGAAAAAGGAATAATTATTGTACATGGAAACATTTAGAGAAAACAAGGACACAGATTGCAGTTCACAACAACACAAACTAAATCAATTTTGACATAATTTTTTAAATAATAAGAGTTAATGAATAAAAATTTAACTTAATAATAATCACAAAATTATAAAATTCTACATCCAGGATAAAGATATATTTTCATCAGGTATTTGGAACTTTAATACTTGAAAATTACTAGTTCATTTATGCTACTACTAGTTCAAGAATGCATAAAACACTGTAAGGCTTAAACTATAAATTATAACAATTCTTCGTAAAAATGTACCCTATGTCTTAATATTATCCTTAAAGTTTTACAAAAATCAGTAAGTTGACATATAAATTGGTAATAAAGTTGGGCATTCATTGATCATGAAATATCAAACATTATAGACAGTGACATCAATATTAATAATTTTGTGCCAATTAAACAAAATATAATTAAAACTATTACCTTATTATTATTTTTATTAATCAAAATCTATACTACAATGTAATTTAATATGTTATATACGATTAATAGGAACTTTTCTCTCATATTTTCGTTACATTCAAACATGTTTTTAAAAACAGTACTTCAAATAACGCTGAGAAAAAATAAGAAAAGGTAAGATGCAGCATAATCTTAACTTTAATTCAAGATTTGGATTCAAGAGTATTTTAAAAAATAAAACAAGATGAAAACCTTTAAAACATGCCATAAAGCTTCAAAGTTAAAGAAACCAGAACATCATCTGCGTCGGATTCGATAAAATTAGCAGTGTTGTCATACGGATCCCGCTCTGCAAAGGATTCTGCTTTATCCTCATCAGAGTAGTCCAAAAAACAAACCATTAATTTCTGAACTCGAGACTTTAAGAATTATCATTCATCAATATACATGAGATATATATAAAAAAATGTATTGAACTTTTAAAGCGATAATTTTAAATTAAAACATATTTAAAAATCCTTATTTCACATAATCCTCTACTCTTTCAATTCTACAAATCTCTACAATTATCACAGCATATAGACATATAAAAATTATGTTAAGGTAGGAGTTTCAACAAATTATACCCAATTAATCACACTGATCAAACTTCATTGACAATTATAAATAATACGATTAATGTGCATAAGTGATCACATTTACCAAAATAAATTTTTCCTGTTAATAATCACCAATTATTATTACTACTTACAGCCAGAATTATTATTACCAAAACATATAAACTAATTAGTGTAATATACCTTGCAATTCATCTTCAAAGCCATGAACAAATGCTCCACAAGCTCCTGAACTCATAAGACTAACATTATCATCTTCAATATCTTCTTTTGAAACTTCAGTATACATTTTTTTACCAGATGACCACTCAGTATTTTCATTGTTTTCTTTATTTCCTTCAAAACCAGGTTTCTTTTTCTAAAAGGATTTTGAAATACATTTAGTACTTATATTTTAAACTAGAAAAATTCAGTTAATATATTTATGTTTACATACTCTTAATGTGGATAAAAGTTTCTTATCCAGAGTTTGGTTAAGAAACTCTAAGCTGACTTCTCTAAATCCACCCTGCAAAATAATTTCTTATTTTTAATTGAATACCACACAAAATAAAATAACTGTAGTAGCATAGAAAATATAAAGACAAGCAACATGTTCACAATAAATTAGAAAAAAATACCTAATATTTTACCATTTTCCTTGTAATCACTAACTTTTAATCCATCTTCATTGTCTATCATTACATTTTATTTAACCAAAAGAAAAAAGGCTACAGTTTAAAAAAAAAAGTAATTTCATATCCTGTAAAATATTTTGAAAGATAAATTATTTAACTCAGGCCTAAAAAAGCTTATTTCTTACATCAAAATAATTGCATATTAACAAGAACTAATTTAGAACAAGAATAATTTTTTTTTAAATATTACATTTAAAAAAAAAAAAATTTGTTCAGTAAAGAGTTAATTCACGTGTGATCAATATCAAACTCTGAAATCTGAAAATTTAAACCAATATAAAACATAAAGAAAGTAACTTTTTTCTAAAAGAACTAATAAGCACTAATTATAAAATTGAGAGCAGTTTCATAACTGCTATAATTTTGCCAATGCCAATAAAATAGTGGACAGATAAATATATTGAAAAGCTAAATAACAGATAAAAAATTGTTTAAGGAAACACTTATTTTAATTTCCATTCAAAATTATAATAAAGAAGTTCCATGACAAACAACACAAGTCAACCGTAGTGATACCTCAAGGAAGCTTGACCATATTTAAAGAAGCTTTTTTAGATCATCCCAATAAAATCTTAAAGTTTAAAAAAACCAGAAGGATCAAGAGCTAGTAGAAGACCATTAATTAAATGGTCAAATGACATTAAATTTTACTCTTAAGTTATAAAATTAAAAATTGGATGCTGCAGGCAAAAGATGCTGGAAACAACATACGGCAGAGGCAACCAAGATCGCAAGGACCTGTTGTGCTTGCGAAGATATATAGCTTTCTACTTTCTTAAATTCAATTTTAAAAGAAAATTGTCAAATAAAATTAAAAAGTCTTTCTGCTAAATACATAAAGTTTTTCATGACTGAAATTACTAAAAATAAATTAAAATTGGTCAAAATTACGCACCAATAAAGATGCAGCAAGTACACGAACATTCGTAGAAGGATCAGTAATCATAGTACAGATTTTGGCAAAGGCATCATCAGCTAAACGTATTTGTTCTTCGGGACTCACAGATACTAACCTAGAAAAAAATATATATTTTATATTTGAAAATCAATAATACATACATTTAAAAAATATATATACAGTCGAACTCGTTTATAACGAGCACAAAGGGACCGTAACATGTACTCGTTAAATCCGAGTGCTCGTAATAAACGGGTCCTTAAGGCAGGCGTGCAAATAAAAGTTGGGGGGGCTTGGGAGGTAAAATGATTAAGTTTACTTAAAATTTAATTAATACTTACTTACCTTAATTACATTAATTAATACTTACTTACCTTAATTACATTAATTAATACTTACTTACCTTAATTACATTAATTAATACTTACTTACCTTAATTACATTAATTAATACTTACTTACCTTAATTACATTAATTAATACTTACTTACCTTAATTACATTAATTAATACTTACTTACCTTAATTACATTAATTAATACTTACTTACCTTAATTACATTAATTAATACTTACTTACCTTAATTACATTAATTAATACTTACTTACCTTAATTACATTAATTAATACTTACTTACCTTAATTACATTAATTAATACTTACTTACCTTAATTACATTAATTAATACTTACTTACCTTAATTACATTAATTAATACTTACTTACCTTAATTACATTAATTAATACTTACTTACCTTAATTACATTAATTAATACTTACTTACCTTAATTACATTAATTAATACTTACTTACCTTAATTACATTAATTAATACTTACTTACCTTAATTACATTAATTANTTCTTGATTGGCCTTATTTTTTAGAGTTAATTTAAGAATATGTTTTTCCAGGAAATATTATTCTGAGCATTGAAATGTTAGTTTCAGTGTTGCTATGCTGCTAAAAGATTTTGCTATTTGGCCCCAAGTGTACTGTCCTCAATCGATTTTTTTTTCTCTTTTTTTGCCGAATATTCATTTTTTGACCAAATCGCAATTCATTCCCACATTCGACCAAATCATATTAGTTGTGGAAAAAATAACCAGGCTTTACGATAAAACTGTACCGAAATACCGTATCAAAAAGTGATTATTTAATTGTGCGATTAACAATCACGTATCTTAGTAACATCATAGTTAAATAAAGGGATCATCAAAGTCATGTGGAAAAGTATAGAAATAATAGGTGGGAAATTACTTATATTTATGCTGAATTGAGCACGAATAAAGCTTGTCAAATTCACGACTTAAAATTTGCATGTCGTAATAGAATAATTGAAATTTTTTATGATACGTGGGAACGCATAGCAATAACTGCCGAAAAATATTGTTGAAAAAAAGAATTTCAAATTTAAAAAAAAAATCACTTAGATTTAAGATGAAATCGTCACAAATAAAGTGCACCAAAAAGTGATTATTGAAATGGGCGTTCTAAAACTCGCGTCGTAATAAAAATTCGAGATTTTCGAAATCACGTAGAAAAGTGGAAATAACTGTTTAAAAAAATCATTTATATTTACCATAAAATCGGCTTAAAGAAAGCGCGTTAAACGTACATTTACTAAAGAATCTGCTAAAATTGATTGTGTCAAAACGTGATGACTTAAAAGTGCGATTAAAAATTCCCATTTTTAAAATTTTTTTATTGTGTTTAGAAGCTCTCGCGGGCCGCACTTCAATAGTCGAAGGGCCGCATTTGGCCCGCAGGTTGTGCACCCCTATGGTGGCGTTAAAAACCACGTGAGAGAGCTTGGGAACAAAACAGAAAGAACGAGAAAGATCCGCGGGTGTTTTATAAAAAGGGCCGCCGGCAGTATTGGAAAAATTCAAGGACCTATCAAGTTTTTCAAGGACCTAAGACGTTTTTCAAGCACTTTCAAGGACCAAAAAAAAATTCAAGGACTTTCAAGGACTCTCAAGGACCGTGGGAACCCTGTAACCCCTTCCCCCCAACGAACTAAGAATATCCAAATTGTTCAGCAAATTTTTCAGCTTGCACTTTTAGAATTGGTCCACTCACAGGTAAATCAGCACTACGTTGCACCTTCATCCATTTCAATAACACTGCGTCCAAATCCTTTTTCGAACACTTCTTCAGTCGTTTACAGTCTGTTTTATTTTGGTCGTATGCATTCATTAGGTTGCCTTTGTTTTTTAGCAGTGTGGAAACAGTAGATGAAAACAATCCATACCTTTTGCAGATTTCGACTTTTTTAACACCGTCATCCAACTTCCGTAAATTTTTTACTTTTTCGTCAACCGATAAAGCTTTAAATTAGACCAATAAGGGCAATTAAGTTTCAGTTCGCGGTTTGTTTTTTTTAAATTTCTCACGCATTTCTTATCATTTTGAAAAAAAGATGAGACAGTAAGACTAGAAAAATGAGAAAAAAGATTGCAAGACAGAAAAATTTCGCTCGCTAAAACCGGATTTTGCTCGTTAAAAGCGACTTCTGTTCCATAGACTTAACATTGATCCAACCAAATATTCTCGTTTCCCTCGGTAAATCCGAGTTCTCGTTAAATCCGAGCTCGTTATAAACGAGTTCGACTGTATTACATTTTAAAAAACAATTTTTTGAAAAAAATTAAGAGACAACATGAAATTTATTAAGTTATAAATATTTTTTATCCCTAGGAAAAATTGAATAAATGTTTTTTAAGTGCACTAAGAAATTTTTAAAAATAAATTTAGGTCCATTAAAACTTAATGTAATGTATAACAATATCAAAAGACTTTGGAATCATATTTGTTGTATAAAAACTATAACTATAAACTCAACACATTGCTGTAAGATGATTTAGTACTTAAAGATTATTTTGATTCATAATTAATTTAAAAACAAAAGTTTAAAACTAGAAATTAAGAATTAAAAAATAAAAATTATTTTCTTTTGAGTAAAATTTTTAATTACAACCTAGATAAAAATAACAAATGAAGTAAAATAAAATAATGAACACTGCAGGCATACAAAGCAGAATTACTGCCAACAATGTTAATTAATTAGAAACAAATGTCAATTAATTATAAACAAACTTACTTTTCAGAATGCAAATGACTAATGACATCAATTAATTTGAGAGCTGCCATTCTGACACACTCATAATCATCAGTGAGGGCTTCACAAACAACCTCATACAAACTAGAATCTAATTTTAAGCCTCGATCATGAAGTTGTAACTGAAATATAATCAATAGTTTTTAAGTATAAGACTTTCAGTTTAAAAAGAATAAGAAAGCATATTCATTATGATACATACTAAAGCATTTAAAGCTTCTGTTCGAACCCTTGGTTCATGATCATGGCTGTACTCGGCAAGCAGTTGAAGCGTATTTTGGAAAGATTCCGATTTATCGTCTAGGGCAATAAAATCTCCAATGACAGCTAAAGCCGCACATTTCACTTCATGACTTCGATTGTTAAGGTACTATGAATAAATGTAAGTTAAGCTATTTAAACACTTAACAATATAAAACCATAATTTGTAAGGGAAATGTACAAACTTATCACAATATGTAATTAATATAATAATTATAAATTAAAAAAAAAAGCATGAAAACATAACTAGGTAATAAATTTTCACTATTAATAATTCATATGAAACTTACAGATTGAGAAATTATATGGAGTTAAATACATAGCCTTTTTTTCTTTCAAAAGTCTACAACCAAGTAAATTTTTTTCTTAAATAAATAATAAAAAACATAGGTTAGGTATTTTGTCCTTTTTGAATAATCAATAACTTTTGAGTATAATCTAACCTAGTTAAAAAAAACTTTTGACAAATTATGTTTGAAAGAATTGACTAAAATTCACCTAATCTATTAAAAAATATTATAAAAAACTAACTTTAATTTTTATTTTTTTAATTTGTATGAATGTTACTCTGGTTCAACAATAAAACATATTTTCAAAAGCAGACATTGAACTAAGCTCAACAGAACAATCTCTTACCACTATTAATGATATTATAATTTTGAAAAACTATAATTTTGAAAATCATGACTTAGTATTAGAATAACATAAAAGATACAATCTGTAGAAAAAGTCTTTTATTAAAGGCAGATGTGATCAATATTAATAATACTTTTAAGACTTTGATACTGAAAAAAAAAGAAACTTTTCTTCTCTGAATTATCAGAAAAAAATTTAACTAATTTCGAACAGCCAATTATAATTTTTTCTGAACTACGCAAAAATATCTATTGAATTCTTAACAATTTTCTCAGTTAAATTTTGTACACCATTTCAAATAGACATTAAAATACACAATATAGAATTTGAAAAGAATAATAATACCTTTGAAGCTAGTTGAAATATTTGCAAATGAAGTTTATCATCTTTTTCCAGTTTTTTTATTCGTAAGAATGTTGAAAGCAAAACTGCTAAAACTTTATGAGATGACTCTCCCTTCATTAAAGGTTGTAAATCATCGAACAATGTATATGCTTCAATTAGGTTTGCTTGTACCATTTGGGAAAGAATGTTTACTAATTTCACACGTACGGCAGGTTCAGGTTCTTTTAAGTAATGATCTAGCAAAGTGTTGTACAAAGGAATGGCATCTACCTATACCAAAACAGAGAACAATATAACATTAAGAAAACAATGTAAACATGCATAACTACACAAATCATATTTCTCAAAACAATCAATAATTTTTTTTCCAATTCAGCAAGGCGAGAGTGAACACAAACAAGAACTGATAACAAGTAAAGCACAAACAAATAAAACTGAACAATAAAAGAAAGGAAACTGTCAAGGAGTTAAACTAAAGTTTCCTAGCTTCTAAATAGCAGGAGCAAATAGATTCTTGCTTCAGAGATAGGGGAAGGAATCTAAACTTATAAACAGGTTGCTGCAGTAAAGAAAGCATGCAGGTTGTTGCTGATTTAAAGTCTGTAAAAGGTGAGTAAAGATGCAAAATTAAAAAGTCATCATTGAGAAAAATCAATCAATCATAGTTAGATTAATTTACACCACATTTTCAAAAAATTTAAATTTCATTTAAGTTTATATTTTTAGTTTGCTTTTATGCCCGACAACTGATTGACAATTTTTCAACCTGCTAAATAGCAAAAGTTCAATCAACACTATAAAAAAAGTTAAATGCCCCGTAGTACCAAAACATTAAATTTCTACATGAATCAACCAAGTCAATGGGCTATCCATTTAAATATTACATACCCTCACAAAATGTTAAAATTCATGGATCAATTTTTGTGTTAAATAAGAAGGAATGTTTAAATGTGAATAAGCAAAAATAGTAGACTGACTTTTTGTAACTATGTAAAGAATCTGAAAATCTTCACCTGGAAGAAAAGTTTTTACAGGTATTATAATAAATAAAAGAAAATCTCTAATTTTAAATGAAAATTGCTTAAAAAATATTTCCTTTTTTTGGAAGTTTTTAAAGATAATCTATAAAATTGATTTATCAATTTTTATCTTTATTTAATTTTGCAAATATATTTGGGGTTTAAGATAGGTGCTTTCAGTTTGAAATATACCATTTTCAATAAAGCAACAAACACAAAATTTAATAAATTCCAACCTCTCCTTTAATGGCTTCTTCAACTTGCAAGAGAACAATCATAGCAGCACTAGAAGTAGTTCCCTTCAGCAGGTCTAGATCAAGTTCAGGTTGGTAAGAAGTTTTCTTCATCAAACGTAAGTGCTTAGCTGGTTTTTTAGGAGCTTCCTATAGAGCATATTTTTATATTAACTATTACATATCATGTATAGATAAATTGTATTATTATCATAGCATTTTAAAAATTATTAGCACTACTTAATAGGAATTAATTTATTATATTGTTATGCAATGCATGTGAAAAGATAAAGAAACATTTTCATTGAAAATATCAATAAGTTGTGCATGATTTTTTTTTCTTTACATATCATGATTTATATAATTAAAATTATCATGATTCAAATCATGAAAACCTCACTTATAAATTTTTCAGAAAAATTTCCATGTAGTGATCTACGACAAAATAATCACCAAGTCTCAGTAACTTTCAGGCAGTGCCCCACTAGAAACTAAAATAAAAAACATGACAGAAAGGGAACATCTAGAAAAGTATAACTAGCAACCACCCCAAGGCAAACCATTACATATTTTTTTTTTTAAATTGCAACTTAAAATACATTTGGCATCTTGGCAATTAAAATTGGTGTGAAACATCACAATGCGGAAATATTCCTTTATTGCCAGATATTAATAGAAACATTTAAAAATTTTAGGTATGATTGCTCGAATGTAGCTACTACTACAACTTGTACACTTTCAGATTCTCCCGTTCTGTGAATAACAGGAACTGAATTTAGAGCCAAGAAAAAGAACAGTATGGAACACAAAATATCTTTCAATATATTTTATTAAATCTCAATTTATAGTGTTTCACTAAAAATTTAATAATAAACATATTCATTAGTTAGTTAAAGAAAGATTTTACCCTTATAAATGAACAAACATTTAATTTGGCAATGTGTTTTGGAATGACCTGTTGTACATAAAATTAAAAAATGGATACTCTATAAAAAAAATTATAAATTAATTTGTAAAATTCACCAATAAATAATTCTGCAATTAAGAAATGAAAGTAAGATTTAAATTTCTGTTTTCACTTTATAAAATCATAACATCTCAATTAGCAAAATCATTGTTCAAGCTTTTGAATTGTTTATTTAGAAATGCTTTTTGCTTTATTTTTCAAGAATAGTTTCCTAATTTGAAGTCTTAATATATATGATTACAACTTCATAATTTGATTGAATGAACTGTTGGATTTATTTAGTGGTTAAGGAAATAATTTATAAAAACCTAGAATTAGATTTGTATATAATATAATTACCTGTAAAACCATGCTGAACTCAGCTAAAGCACGTTTCTTTAACACGGCAGTCATATTTTACAAATGATCAAAATTCTCTTGAAGTACTTTATTTTATTCTGCCGTTTTGCGCTTTGTTTACATTTTGTAAAGTAGAAACAATTATACAAAATCGGCTTGCTACTCGAGTGATACTATAAAATTCGATATCCGAAAATTCTACTTTATTCCGCTTCTTTCAAACGATTGGTGAAAGAAAACTTATTATAATTTCATCATAATTTAAAGTAGTAGAATTTTTAGCCGTTTCTTTGACCAAAATGACACAAGAAATGAAATCACTGAATTTTAATCAACTTTATTTTTCACTGTAACTGTTCAGAAAATGGACTTTTCCAAAGGTTTTTTTTTTCATGAGTTTCCGTTTTTCTTTCAAATTTAGAATTCGGAAAACACAATAAACGGATTGCACTGTGAAAGTAACTAATCAGAAGCATTTTAAATTTGAAATTAAGTATTAATTACCACACTTGACATTTAATTAAGACGTTATCTATTAAAAACTTTCTAATGTTTAGGTAATTTTTAATACACGCATGTCACATGAAGTGGATTCAACCAATCAAATTGTGTGTTCTGCTACCACCGCCAAGCTCGTTTGCGGAAAGCGAATCGTACGCAAGCTGCCCGATTCTCATTTCGGATCGAAATTAGCGAGGATGAACGCAAGGAACTTGATTATACACCGAAAAAGTCCACTACTTTTCTGACATGTAGCATTCATTTCCAGTTAAAATCATCGAATTAAATTTTATGTTTATTTTTAGATTATATGTTAATAAATTGATATTTTACGAAAGTTTTAAGATATATTAAATATTTATTTTAAATACACATGTTTTAAATAACAATTGTTAGGTCGCCATCTTGATGTGATTGATTTATAAAAGTATTTTATAATTAGCTGCAGAATTATTTGCAGTTTATTATAGGCGAGAAATTTTACTTATATATCGTAGAATATGTCATATTAAATATGTTTTAGAATTTTGCGAAGTAACTACTTTTTTTTGCTCTTCTCGTAAGTCGACCTCATATATGGCCCAAACTTCAACATCCTTGATGAATTTTTGGGATTTAGAAGGTATGTTTATAGTGGCATTGAAATTTACTATTTGAGAAATGAAAATCTTTAATATAAAATGCCAATTTATATTTTTCTTAGTATGTTTTATTTTACTAGCACCTGTTCAATTGACTTTAAAAACCGTAAACATGTCTCGTAAGATATCCATTTAATAACCTTCAATGTTTACTTTTTCAGCGATTTAATGAAAATTATGGATATGCAGTGTTTACCCGAAATTAACGTAACTAGCTGTGTTAAAAATGTTTTATAAACCTTCAAAATTAATTTAAATTATTTCGTAAACTGTGAAAATGAATAGCGTCTATATATTTACAATAATCATCATTCATATCCATTACTTTAAAAAAAAAACCTGCTATTCATAATTATTGCTTTATATAATTATTCTTTAGTGATTTGATTGTTGATCGTCAGTCTTTAAATGGACTTGTTTTTATGATAATACGTTGAGGAGGTGTTTAATAAGATTTAAGTTTTGCAACATGGATTTAAATCCGCATTTTTTATGTTTATTTTTTGAATTATTCATTCTTTACATATACGTGGTTTAATAAATTAACTATAAAACGTAAATTTTGCTCGGATTAGATTAATATCAGTAAATAAAAATTAATTTCATTTATAATTTATTTTTTCTTGTTTATCTGAACCAATTGTTTTTTCTTTAAAATTGATATATGCTTTGTTAACAATCATTTACTAATATTTTTTAGAGTTAATTTTGTCCAAGTTTTTTCAAGTTCTCTAGACTAAAGTATTTAATTTAAAATTAATGCTGATCAATAATTTTTAAATAAATGTTTAGAATAGGTAAGAATGTAATTAATAATTTTGTAAGTAAAATAAAGAGGGCTAGTCATGTCATATAAGACTTCAATTTTATTTTATTTTTCATTGGTAATTTATTTCTCTCTATATAAGCATATATAATTAATTTTGTAGTGTATCTATTACAAAACTAAATGGAAATTTGAAATTAATTAGAAATAATTGTTCCTCAACATGGGTCTCAGGACACTGAGTTCAATTGATTTGATGAAACTTTATAATAAATTATCTCAGGATATCATTTTAAGACAACCAGCTTTTAAACTCAGTTATTTAATTTAATTGTATAAAAGGAGGCAGTTGTTATTCTAAGACATCTCTAAACAAGTTGATGAAGGAAATAATTTGTAAATGTTGTATAGACATCAAAAATTAAAACCTTTGATGATGAAAATGCTAAACAAAGTCCAAAATAATTTATTTAATAAAATATTTTGTTAATTTTTGTAAACATTTAGCATTGATAAAGTTAAACATTTACCATATAAGAATGAAGCTGAACAACCATATGATAGCATAAATACCACTTTAAGAGACATACTATAATTTCAATTTTAAATTTGGAGCTATAATTTTGGCATTAACATCAAAATACAGAGATGCAGAAGAAAATTATTCATTTGGATTAACAGCACATCTTTGTTTGAACATAGTAGTAATATTCATCATATTTGTCATAATCTAACTGTAAATATTATTTAAAAGCATATTTTATTTGTATTGATTACATCATACTACTTACTCACTAGTGCTAGGAATTTTTTAGTTATTAGATGAAAATAGCATTTATCATTTTATTACCTAATTGCACACAATAATTAATATTACATTATTGTCTTATTCATTTAGTTAAAAACTGTACTGTCAGTTCTCCTAACAAAACCATGGAGCAAAAGAGTCAAAATATGTCTCCTGTAAAAGCTGGACTTATCAAGTATTATCAGAGGCATGGATTAGAAGGCATTGCCAAAGAAGTAAGATTTTTTTTCTGATATTACAATATCACATTCTCATAAAGTACACTACCTTCAATATCTGATTAGCAATTAAATGCAGAATATTTACACAAGAAAATACAGTATTATGTCTCATTAAACTGACCTGCTGGTTTCATTAAAATATATCTCTATGTAAGATTCTAATGAGTTTAATAAAAAAAAAATTTGTTTTAAGACTTTGAAAGCAGTTTTAATTTTAAATCTCTGAGTAAAAATTTTGGTTTTCTATAAAATATATATATTTATTTTCTAAATTGATAAAAATAACAATTCAATGTAATTTTTACAAAAAATATAGATGTTTTGCATTCTATTCGATTTAACATTCTTTTTGGAAAGGAAAAAAATATTGATAGTAGTTGATACTGAGCCTGATCTAGAAAAGCAAGAGCCCTAGGCACTAAACTGTCAGTGGGTACCCTGGTTGTTACTTCAACCCATATGATTATGAAGTGTTTTTAAATCAGTTTTGCTTTTACATATTTCAATTTTTGTCAACTCATATCTCTATTAGATAATGTACCTGGAGAAACACAAATAGAACATATTTGTAACAGAGTGCCCCCCAAAATATGGGGGCCCTCGAACCTCTCTATCTTTATGTTCTTACACTACTAACTGACACAATCAGGTAGTAGTATTATTCATTTTTAATCTCTGTCAGAATTTATATAGTTAACAGTAAAGTTAACATTAACTTTATGTAATCCATATAAATTTTAATTTCATTTCCAAAACATGTTTTATATTGTAAAAAAAATATTAAAACTGGATTTATTTTTAGGTTGGTATTATACAACCAAATGGAGAAATAATTGGAAGTAAGCTAACTACTCAACCAAAAGAATTAAGAGGTAAATATGATTCTCTGTTAAACAGGGTTGATTATTTCAGAAGGGAAAAAAGCCATGAGACTTTGAATGTCTCATTATTGCATTTGTGATAGTTACAGTTTTGGGGGAAGTATGACTGAAATTCTGTACTGAATGTGGATCAGTATTGCTTTTATTTAATATTGAAATTTAATTATCAGAATTTAACCATTAAAAGCTCTTCAGTATCAATTTTTAACACACCCTTAAATTTAAATAATATATAATTAAAGTGTGCAGCAAGAAATGATCTGCAACAAGATTCAGTACTTTTCGGTTAGCCGAGGGTGAGTAAATTAAATTTTTTTATTTATTTAAAATGATGTCGCAAAAAAATTAAATAATAAAATGAAAACAAAAATAGCTTCATTTACTTGTGCCCAGAAAGTACGGAAGGAGTTAAGTTCTAACAAAATTAAAACAGGAGTCCATGGAATAAGATATCTGTAATCCATTGTAGAAGTTGTAAACCAAAATATTTTTCTTGAATTATTTTTAATTATCCTTTTTTCTTTATTTTTTAATTTAATCAAAGTATTAGTTTTGCTATGCATGATAAATTTGTAGTTTAGTATTGACTTACAAGTTAATCCCAGTATATCTTCATTAAAAACACACACACTTTGTATTTTAGTATTGTCAAGTTTTTTTCAAAAGTGGAAAGAAGAAAAAACAGCAGCTATAGCAGGTTTCTATAAATGATATTGATTATTGTTTAAAGTGTTGCATTACAATTTTTAAATAATTCAAAGAATTGTTTAGTGTTTTTTTCTTTTTTTAAATTTCAAAAACAGTGAGACCTCACTAAATTCCTGAAGTTGTAAAACCATCAACTTTGCATTTAACCTTCACTAATCTAAACACCAACTTTTCTATGAAAAAAAAATTCTGCAAAATAATTTTAATATTTAGTTATCTGTGTTTTAGTTTCAGTATAATTTCCCTAGGCAGTGGCCTAAAGGAGAAAAGAAGAAAAAAAAACAAGAATAAACCTAACAAAGTAATTTTTTTTTTTACTTTGGATTGAACATGCTTTTCTCTCAAGTGCTAGAAACAAAGCATTTTATTGTTGGAGAGTGATTATAATGTTCAAAAAGGGCAGCCAAACTTAGAGGATTCACTTTCATTCATTCTGAGGCTAACCGTTGAGGTGGTTTTCCGAAGTAACATTATGTGATTCCATTATCAACTTCACATATTTCCTAGTTTTAAATTATTCTTTAATTTAATTATGTTTTAGTTATTCTTAATCCAGTTTTAATTAAACCAATTATTTAATTTTATTAAAATTTTTAAAGGCAAACATAAATATTTTCTTCACTTCTTAACAATCAATGCCATTGTTAACTTTTTTTTATTCAATATAAATGTATATCTGAATAATTTGTTGTCTCTGCTAAATCAATTGTCAAAATCTATTTTTAACTTTCTGCAGCTTTCTTTCTCTAACCACAAAAATTTTCAGTCACAGGGCTATATTAATTTTCAGTCTTTTTGGTGATTAAGCTGTAGCTAGATGGTTTAAAAGTTACTTATGAACGCAAGGGTGGATTTGTTCTTGGCTGTCTTACCTATCCATAAATCGACATTCCTAAGTGTCCAATTCAGGACACTTAGGACTAGGAACAATTCAGTCACTGCTTATTTTGAAATCTTGGTGTTAGAACTGGTGGGTTTTGCCTTTCATTCCGATCGTTATTAATTTACAAAAATTTTATGATCAAAACGCATATCTATAATAGGAAATGCTTCTTACTTTTTTATTTAATATGGCCCCAGAAATTTCCACTATGCTTCTATGCTAAAACTCTCATAATGTTTCTAAACTGTGTTGCTTTAAAAAGCAAGGAAAGAATTAAATCTTTTAATGATTTTTATTCATTAATAAACTGAAATATTTTACTTCCAGTAATTTTGCTGCAGCAAATCATGACTAGAAATTTTATTTTGAAAATAAAGCTTCTTTCAAGGGTGATCTTAACCCTTTATATCTCAACATCTCTGATATTAATAAAAATTACTCATACATTAAAATACATCATTCTAAGCGTGTAAAAAATAGTAAAAAAATTTACAACATAAAATAAGAAAAATTATTTGGAAAAAAATTGCAAAATGACAAATGACAAAAAGTGCTTGCAAAATGACAAAAAGTGCTTGTTGCATTCCTGCAACATTGTGAAAAATGGCACTAAGATTGAAAGATTCAAAAATTTTAATTCATATGAAAATTTTTAAAACAGTTGTTACTTTTGTTGTAACCAAGTCCTACACCACATTTCTCACAAATAGTTTGTGTAAATTCTTTGCATTTTGGGTATTTGCATCTGATTCTTTTGTTAGCCCAATTAGGCCAGTGCCCAATTTCATCTTGGCGCACTGGTTATGGTCGACAATCGCCGAAATCGTCCTTCAAAATTTGTTGGGGCAAAGACATAGGGGTTTTGTGTATGTTGCAGATATGCAAACACGGTAATATAAAGGGTTAAGAAAATCCAAACTCCAAAGGCGAATACTTATCAAATATTCTATACCTCAAAAAAGGACTCTTAGTTAAATTCAAAAAGGGACTTTTTTTTTAAATTCCTCACTACTTAAATGAACCTTCCACAAAGTTTTAAACTGGAAAAATATCCATGCACATAACTAACTTTCTTAAAATATAAAATTAATATTTTTTTTCTTCATCCTTGTAACTCAAAGGAAATTTTTCCTGAACATAATGCATTTTTGTGTAAATTAACTTTACAAAAACACAAATGAACCAGAAAAACTTTCAGAAAAGGGATGTGATGTGATTTTTTTAACATACTATAGATAAAATAAAGACAACTGATCTAAGTTGCAATGGATGTGTATATATTATTGAAAGTTCTGAGATTAGATACTTTTTAGTCACTGGAAATAAAAATTATTCATATTCTTAATTCTATATATAATAGTATTTCTTTCTAAACATTTGATGCATTGTTACTAATTATAGTAATATATTTGTTGAAGATTGAGTTTTGATAAACAAGACATTTAAAAAAAATACAATACAGTATCTGGTTTACCATTTAGTTTTCACAAAGTACGTACGCATTAGAAGTACTTTCATAAGCTAATAATGTATTGCAAATAACTACTCAATAAGACACTGAAAATATTTAATTTTTTGCTGTGATAAATTTTTACCTATCATATAAAATCCTTTATGAATTGAAAATATTCAGTTATTTTTAGAGAAGCCCTGGCAATTTAAGATTGATAATATTATTGTATTTTATTTTTTTTTGCCTAAAATATTAACTTTATGCAAAATGTTTTCAATTAGACAGTAGAGCAAATCTAATTTATATATGTAACGTAAATTTGGGGTGTATGGTGTAAATTTATTATTGTGTGAATCAAGACTAGGAGCCTGAAACTGGTTTGAACAATCGAAAATTTAGAGCAATACCAGCTACTCATATTCTAATTTTTATGTTATGTTGAGCAATTTTCTCTTTATGCTCACAATTTTATTTATTAGAGTTTCATGTTTTCAAAAAATAAATACTTTAATTTCAATTTATGATGTTGGATTAATTAATATATATAATAAATTAAATTTTATAGAAAAGTAACAATTACTGTAAAAAATTAGAATTAAATTAGAAAAATATTCTGTAAAATCTGGACATCTAGTTATTTAACTTAATTATTAATTTTGAAATTCAGTACAAATAATTTTTGTTAAAATAGTAATTAAAAATACATATTTTAAAAAAGTAGTGAATGTCAAATATTAACAGCTGTATGATTACCTATTTTTATTGCAATTTTTAACACAACCATTTAAACTGAAATTTTACATCAGTGGGGAAAAGAATTATCACTTTGCCATTTTTATTTTAGGAATCATGAGGGGGGGGGAATGTTTCCTTTCTAGAGAACATTACATTTACAAAGATTTCATCTTAGGTTAGCACATGATTGTCTACACACACATAAAGAGCATGTATGTACCCTAACAACTTTAGAATACCAACAACAAAAAATTCTTTTAAATTATTTAAATCTTAACTGTAATAACAGGGTTTTATGAATTTTTTTTTTCCAGATCTGTTGCATATATAAGAAAGTATTTAATGTTTATAACAATACATGAAAGCAATTTTTGAGGTTTTTCAAAACAGAATTTTTGTTAAAACTTTCATCTAAATGTAACGTCGTTTGTGTCCTTTTTTTTTATTTATTTATATAT